CTTGTGTTGAGTTGACGTAACAGTAGGCCACAAGTTATTTAATTTTCTTAAAACATTAGTTCCTAGAAATTTGATGGTTATCTAAAAACTTCTTCATTGAATAGCTTTCTAAATCCTAACTACATGGCCAGAAACCTCAATTTATCATTGAAGTTCTGCAATTTATTATTCATGCTTATTCATGTTGCTGGCTGACTTTTTAAAAGAAGTATTCATTTATGGCCCCGGTGTGGTAGCTTAGTGCCTAAAGTCCTCACCTTGCATCTACCAGGATCCCATATGGACACCGGTTCATATCCTGGCTGCTCCATTTCCCATCCAACTCCTTGCTTGTCACCTGGGATATAAGTTGAGGATGGCCTAAAGCTTTGGGACCCTGCATCCACATTGGAGACCCCCATTTGTCTTCGTTCTTTCTCTTATAAAAACCCTATGAGATTCCAAACACTGTTTTATGGTGGGGAAAAGTGGATACGTGAATATTCTTGTGGATACTCAATGTAATGATGCAATAGTTGTTATAAATGAGGTTCAAGGGCCAGATAAAGAATGAGTTAACATCTCATTCTTGTATTAACTTTACTATGATGATGAGAAAGTTTCTGAACTCTCCTTTGCCTCACTGTCTGAAAAACCTGACTTATTTGTACAGCAGCTTCTGTAAGAGGGTGGTTGTGCTTATGGAGGATTCCATCAAAACATATGTGAAGCACTTGACACAGTGCTTGGGACCTGATAAGCTGTCAGGTAGAGTGGGCTGTTAAATTAGGAGACCCATGAACGCTAAAACGCCTTCCTAAGAGGGTCGGTTTGAAGCTGTTGCAGCATGATGATTTATTCTGCTTCTATTTTCTATCTCAGAGGCAGTCCTCAGAGAGGCGGTCCACTGGCTGGGGTCAGTGGGGTTCTTGGCAGTATATTTGACACTAATAATGACTTAATGTGGGTTTTAACCACAAGGTAGAAAATGCAAAAGGCATGATGCAAGGGACAATACTGAGCATTTGCAAACCTACTTCTCATTATAGTGGATCCTCAGAAGCTGAGCCAGAGCAAATGTAGATTATTCTTTCATAAACATTTTTAATGTAGAGTTTGAAAAACTGAGGAAAGACTACAGTATTAACCCTCATCTCATTTCCATAATCATCAGCAAGTTACTTCTTCTGGAAAGCCCATTTTTAATCTGACTCTTGTTTCACGTGTAACTTTTCACAGAACTGTCTAGAATCAGTATCTTGGAGAGTATAGCAATAAAAACAGAAGGATGCAGCATCAGGAACAAAAGCAGGTTGTCGAGCAATGCTGTAGACGTAGAAAATTTGCTCAAGTTGTTTTCACCATAGTCCAGAGGACACAGACTCATTCTGGAAGGACACTGCTCCTTTAAATTACTCACACATCCCACCCAGATCTTGCACCCTGGCCAAACGCCTGACCACTCTCACTTTAACAAAGTCTTATAAACGTGAATCCAAGATCACAAAAGATCCAAGGGCAAAGATATTTTTTGTTTCCTCACAGAACTGAGCCACATCGAGTAGCTGCCTCCATCTCCAGCAGCAGTCCTCGCTGTGGGCATTCACTCAATCCCTGACTCTCACTGTAAGGTAAGACACTGCTGTTTTGTTTGCTCACTTAACTTGCAGGATCCCCTAGGAAGACCAGGTGGCTTGCATACTTAATAAGTGATGAAAGTTGTCAAAACTTCTTATCCTCTGATCTTACTTTAACTAAATTAATAGAAAGATATAAATTATTGTTAAGTAGACATTTAAAAACAATTATGAAATTATTTTGAAATTGATTTTTAACTTCTCAGCTGATAAACAGTATTCTAATGATGTTAATACCCTTTCAGACTTTTTTTTAATTTGGAATAATTTTTTACTCAAATTTAATTATAGGGATACTTGAGCAGTTAGGACATTTTCAAGTAGTGTCTTTATACAGTAATCTTTAGCTTCATGAACAAATGGCTGGGATGCAGACACCAAACTAAATTGAACAACTCTACTAAAAGAAAATATTTATTTCTGAAAAATTCTAAAATATAAAATCTCTCAGATTCACTGATCCTGATATTTACTAAAGTTTTGGAAAAAAAAGTGAAATTACTGAATTTCAATAAGGATTGTAATTGATTCTGCAATTATCTAATGTAATAGTGACAAATCTAGGGATTACATTTATGTCACTTAACTAATGGCATCTCTTACCTTGCCTAATTTGTATGTGATTTCCAAAAGAGAGCTAGGTGAGTATTATTAAAAACTGAAGCAAGTGAAATGTGGTAAAAGTGATTAGAAATGAACCATCTCTCAAGAGGCCAAATAAAGATGAAAAATATTTCAAGAAGTAGAAAACAAGACAGGACAGGAGTGGATAGGTAGAAGGCTGTCCTCTAGCTACAGCAGGGAACCAGGATGGAAGGGCAAGATTGGCTTGGGTGAATCAGATCAAAATTGCCATGGTAAATAGTAACCACATTATGATTATCATAAAGAATAAATCATGTTAATGAGCATCACACATCCTGGACTTGGGGGGATGAGTTCATGATTCTCGACCTGTAAGACGACATGAACAGGTTATTAGTTTGGGAAATGTAAGTTTCCCTTTGAAGTCCGAGTTTCCAGAACCGTAAATGAAGTCTACACATGCAAAGCATGTCATTTTCCTTTCAGGATCCTGCATGAGGCTCGCCTTGTGTTTTTGAAGAGTAGATTGCTAATGTAGCTTGTAAAATCCTTCTTGTTCTGAATGAAGTTAAATTCTCAAATTCTCACTTGCAGAGTTTGAGGGATATATCTTAAGTTACAGATTCAACAAAAGAGGAAACTCGTGTGATTTTAGGCCCACTCCCCTCTGCAGATGCAGTGGAAGGTGTACTGTTCTATATTTCCTGGCCTCTACACTGATCTTCAGACTTACCGTTGTATATCTTTCTGCATTCTTCTCCTTGATCAGCAAGGGTTTAAGGATGAATGTCTTTAGTTTGCTCCATTTCCTTTGTGTATTTGTGTCTTCTGATTTCTCTTTAATCCAGCTGTTTTTACATCAGCCTATCTGAACTGAAGAGCTGTTGGGATTTGGCCAGGTGCACTTGATGCACTAGCCAGCTGAGATGCCTGGTAATACTAATCTAAAGTTTTTCTAACAGTAAACTTCCTGCTGGACGGTGAGAGTTGAGAGGCAGGCTGTGGCATGAAGCCATCCATTGCTCCATCCACAAGCCAACAGCTTTGCTTCCTTGTGACTTGCCTGAAAGAAGTCAGTCTCCCATCTCATTCCTTAGTGCCTTGTGTTTTTATTCTGTGTTCAGAGCCTGGAAAAATCATGTTTTTCCTCTCCTAGTTCTCATACCCTGAAAGTAAGGTGCCAAAGAAGAAAAATGTGATCATTGTTTTCCGGAACTCCTGAAGCAGGCAAGCATTTCCAAACTAGGTTGAATAGCAGTTCAAAATCAGTTGCCTTGTTTCCATTCTCTTAGGCACACTGAGCTGGCAACATATCACCCTTACTTTGCCATGTAAGTCTACGATTTAAAAATCAGTTGGTGTGTAACTTGGCATATTGATTAAGATGATTGGGGATTTAAAAAAACAGAATTAGATTTTTCATTGTTATTTTACTAGATAGTTTCTTTTTTTCTTTTCTTTTTTTTTTTTTTTTACTTTTTGATTGATTTATTTTTATTGGAAAGGTGGATATACAGAGAGGAGGAGAGACAGAGAGGAAGATTTTCTGCCTGATGACTCATTCCCCAAGTGGCTGCAATGGCTGGAGCTGAGCCAATCTGAAGCCAGGAGCCAGGAGCTTCTTCCAGGTCTCCAACACGGGTGCAGGGTCCCAAGGCTTTGGGCCATCCTAGATTGCTATCCCAGGCCACAGACAGGGAGCTGGATGGGAAGCAGGGCTGTTGGGATTAGAACCAGTACCCATATGGTATCCTGGTATATTCAAGGTGAGAACTTTAACTGCTACACTAACATGCTGGGCCCAATCTAGACAGTGTCACAGTGTAGTTCCACAGCCAGTCCTCCTTCTGCCTGTTATTTCTTCTAGTTAAAACTGGAAGGATTATGTTGTTTTTCAGTAAAACTATTGATTTTGTTCTCACATGCTCTAAATTTAATGGATTTTTAAAAATTTTCTTTGTTTTTACTGGAAAGGCAGATTTATGTATAGAGAGTGAACCCTCCCCAAGTGGCCACAATGGCCAGAGCTGAGCCAGTCCAAAGCCCGGAGCCTCTTTACGGTCTCCCATGCAGATCAGCGTCCCAAGGTTTTGGGCCATTCTCTGATGTTTCCCAGGCCATGAGCAGGAAGCTGGGTGGGAAGTGGAGCAGCTGGGATACGAACTGGTGCCCATATGGGATCCCAGTGTGTAAAGGTGAGGATTTAGACACTGAGCTGTCGTTCCAGGTCCTAATGGATTTAGTCCACTTAGGAACCCTACTGGAGACAGAATTTCCCAAGAAAATGTAGAAAAGAGAAATGAGATTCTGTGGGAACAGGAGGGAGGTTTAATTTTGACTTGTGTTCTGAACTCAAGGAGGTTTGCAATGAGGTTTTTCTCTCCAGTCCTGTGAAATACCGATGTGCGGAGGACCAGTTACAGTGAACACGGAGGGGCTGTGCACATAGCAATCTGAATTCCAGAATCTGAAGCTGTCAAATCCAACCCTGTATCTCATCACACACAGTGGGATTGAGAGATTTGAGATGGTTCCCCAGTCCCCTTCTCCCCAAAGTATAATGAGAAATTGAGACTGTATGAATATAATTCTTTAAATAGGGTAAGTATTCATTAACAAATGTTTGGTTGGTGTATCTTGATTTATTTAAAATAACAACATTTATAATTTCAAATATTTTTGAGAACTTTCATGTAAACCTCTTTTTGTGCCAGTTTTCAACTCTTCTTGCTTTAAATTTAAAAGAAGCTACAGACATTATACTTTGTTAAAACATTTCAACTGGTTTTTCTATTAAAGGTTCTACGAGGCAGATGATATTCCACCATCTACCATGATGTGGAGAAGCTATTCTGCCTTATGCCTCTTGCTATTGACAACTTTTCTGAGTCAAGCAGTATTTGGACAAAGAAAGAAAGGACTAAAGCCAAATTCACTTGCAAGGAAAAATGCCTTCCAGGGTAAGAAAGAAACTTGTTTATGTTTGCAAGTATTAGTTTGAGCCTGTTAAAATACAGAGATGAACTTTTCTGAATGTTTCATGTGTACAGCAAATCACACACAGTTATACCTCCATCTATGTGGCATTCTACCTGATACAGTCATATAGTGACAGTACATGCTACACAGCTTGAGCACATTAAAGCTGTTATCCACATGTGCTTCACTGTCCCTCCTTGAGTTTTGCTGGGACAGAGATGCCTACTTTTGTATTATATGTAGAGAAACTGTGGTGAAGAGGCATATTCAAGCACAGGCAAATGATCACAGAGTATTCAAACCTATTTCTTTTTTAAAAAAATTATTTTTATTGGAAAGTCAGGTTTACAGAGAGGAGAGACAGAGAAAAAGATCTTCCATTCACTATTTCACTCCCCAAGTGGCTGGAACAGCCGGAGATGAACCAACCCAAAACCAGGAGTCAGGAGCTCCTTTTGAGTCTCCTACATGGGTGCAGAGTCCCAAGGCTTTGGGCTGTTCCTAGACTGTTTCCCAGGCCATAAGCAGAGAGCTGGATGGGAAGTAGAGCAGTTGGGAAACGAATTGGCATCCATAGGGGATCCCAGTGCCATTACCATACTGAGGCCTAAATCTTTTGCTTTAAAGTTGTTAGTTCCCTCTTATTCTTGCTAGGATGAATGTAAGTCATTTATTTCCCTAACTTCAAAAATAGTTAAAAACATAAAACCAAAATTGGAACTCATTAATGTGCTCTGAAACTTGGGAAGCATTATTTGCTTCTAGGCAACATTTTACACTGTCAATTTTTAAAAAAGATGTGTTTATTTTACCTGAAAGTCAGAGTTGCAGAGACAAATGGGGAGAGACAGAGAGATCCTCTATCTGTTGGCTCACTCCCCAAATAGCCACCAACAGCCAAACCTGAGCTGGTCCAAAGCCAGCAGCCAGGAGCTTCTTTTCAGTCTCCCCTTGTGTGCAGGGACCCAAGGGCCTGAGGCACACCCCCACTGGTGTCTCAGGCTATAAGCAGGGAGCTGGATCAGATGTGGAGCAGCTGGGATGAGAACCAGTGCTCATACGGGATCCTGGCCCAACTGCGGAAAATTAGCTTGCTATGCTGCTGCTCCAGTTCCTCATATTAAAAAAAAAAGATACATCAGTCCTTCCACCCACCTTATAAGGATTTAATAGAGAGAAGATGCTTAAAATCTGTAATACTTTGTATAACTTTATTAGGTAAGAACTTACATACCGAGGTTTTCTTTTATGGTGTAAGTGTAAGCCTTATCCCCACACTTTCTTTCGTATTTGCTTTCCTCATCTTTTAAAAACTTAGACAACACAACTTTTCTGTGCTTTTCATGTGCCGAGTTGTTTATGAGCATGGATAGTTATAATACCTACCCTTTCTGTGTTATTTCAGAGGGTGTTTGCTTCATAGACATTGTCTTCATTGTGGACAGCTCTGAAAGTTCCAAAATCATCCTCTTTGATAAACAGAAAGATTTTGTGGAGCGTTTGAGTGACAAGCTTTTCCAGTTGACTCCAGCTCATTCCTTGAAATATGACATCAGACTGGCCGCCCTTCAGTTTAGCAGCTCGGTGCAAATTGACCCACCCTTTTCTTCCTGGAAAGACCTGCAGACATTCAAGCAGAGGGCAAAGGGTCTGACTCTAATTGGACAAGGTACCTTCTCTTACTATGCTATCTCCAACGCAACCAGGCTACTGAAGAGGGAGGGCCGCAAGGCTGGTGTGAAAGTGGCATTGCTGATGACGGATGGCATAGATCATCCGAAGAATCCAGATGTCCAAAGTATTTCTGAAGATGCGAGAATTTCAGGAATATCGTTTCTCACCATTGGACTTTCCACTGTTGTCAATGAAGCCAAACTTCGTTTGATATCTGGAGATTCTTCCAGTGAACCCATTCTCCTGTTGAGTGACCCAACACTTGTAGATAAAATTCATGATCGCCTGGTAGGTGCTAGTGGGTTGGTCATGTATTTCTTGTTATACATTGTTTTTAGCTTGTTTAGAATCTCTTTAAGGAAAAAGGTTGGACCACAATTTTTTAAGATTCATTTTATATTTATTGGAAAAGTAGATTTACAGAGAAAAAGAGAGACAGAGAGAAAGATCTTCTATCTGTTGGTTCACACCCCAAGTGGCCTCAAAGGTTAGAGCTGAGCTGATCTGAAGCTAGGAGCCTATTCCAGGTCTCCCATATAGGTGCAGGGTCCCAAGACTTTGGGCTGCCCTCTAAATCTTTCTGAAGTCTCTCCCCACTTCTTGCATAGTTTACTCCAGCTAACATGGGAAAGTATTAGACTTATTCCCAGGAGTGACGTACCTGACTCAGCCAATGCTGAGTGAGTTAGGGAGACTTGCTTGGCAGTCAGAAACCTGCAGCTCCGGTGTATGTATACATTCCAAGATCACAAACACTACAGACTTCCATTAATATTCTAGTCGGCTATAACTTCTCAGTTGTTCTTTTCCCATGCTATAATGCAGAAATATTTTTGACTCTGTCTCAACAACTGCCGCATTATTCTACACAAAGTGTGAAGACTTCAGTGTTTAAAATTTTCTGCATGCTGCTTAGATGTTAACAAGTCCATCCAATTTAAAAATCACTTGCTGCTTGCAATCAACCGGTGCTTCTCCCATCAGATCAGGGAGCCTGTGTGATTGTCCGATGAGTTGTGGTGATGCCTTTCTAGACTCGATGCCTGGCTGTGTGTGCAAGCCTCGCCTTGCCACTTTGGCAAACACTGGACAAAGCACTCCAAACAAAATCCTCCTTCACAACATTTCTCCAGGGGAATACTCTTGCCGATGAATTGGTTGGTTTGTTAAGTGTTAAAACATCGATTTTTGTAAAAGCACTGATGTGGTGGGTTTCCTGAGAGTTGGGCAAGGCGCACGTGTGCTTTGGGTTCTGGGCATTTCACGTGGAGGCTTTCTGATCATTGTAAAGAGGAACTCTGGCTTGGGCCTTGTTCCAGATTGTCCTGCTCCCTTGTTTCTTCTGACATCACTGTTACCTTTCTGTAACCAGTCATTATTGGGCCAAGGCCAAAGGTGTCCTTGTCTAAAGAGAGTGCAGTATGTCTTAAGCACTGCTCCAAGCACCTTATGTATTTTATTAAGGGTTTCCCATGGTTTCAGGACATAGATACCATTACAAAATTTTAAAAGAAGTATTTATTCTTATTGGAAAGTCAGTTTTACAGAGAGGAGGAGTGATAGATCTTCAATTGGATGATTCACTCCCCAAGTGGCTGCAATGGCTGGAGCTAAGCCGATCCAAAGCCAGGAGCCAGGAGCCTCTTCTGGGTCTCCCAAATGGGTGCAGGGTTCCAAGGCTTCAGGCTGTCTTCATCTGCTTTCCCAGGCTTTAGGCCGAGAGCTGAATGGGAAGTGGGGCAGCTGAAATTAAAAGTGGAACCCTTATGGGATCCTGGTGCTTGCAAGGAGAGGACTTTAGTCACTATACTGCAGTGTCAGGCCCCATGGATAGCATTTTTATCCGGATTTTACAGTTTAAAGATTAAGGCCAATGAAGACCTGGAATCTGCATTGCATCCTTGTGTAGGTGTATTGAAAAGGGAAATAGTATCTGGTTTTACGGTTTCTGCTATATAGAACTATCTTGACTCAGTTAACTGGTGTCCCTCCTCCAAAGCTACTGTACTTTCTGGCTTTCTCTGCTCAGATGAAGAGCTTCAAGGGGAGTTCTGCTGAAACCAGAGACTGAACTAACAGGTCGAGTTTCATGGTCCTGGGGATGTGTGCTCATTCTGAGCAGTTCTTTGCAGGGAAGGGAAAGTTCAGTTCAGCCTGGCTAGTGCCTGGCCCTACATGTGCTAGGGTTTAAGGAATCCTCAACCCTAAGCCTGAGACAAAAGATCCCAGTGTGAAAAGAGAAAATCCGGGGGTTGTGATCTTGAGTCATCAGTTGCCACTTCCTCATTTCCCAAGTGTGGTGAGGTCTCACTGCGGAGGATGCAGGACCAACAGCAAATGGCCTGGCCAGATGTGCAGGCTCAGAATGCTCCCGTGGTGGCCTCCAGACGCAGCCTCGCCCAGGGCTCCTGCCCAGCGGAGCACAGAGGTTCCTGGCAGTACACTGGAAAGCTACACTGTTTCTGGAGCAACCAGGAAATAGCTAACAACACAGCTCATTCTTGGTTAGCATCCTGTGATTTCAGTCCGTTTGTTCAGATGGGAGCTGTGGGAATGAGCTGCTTGTTAGAATGGGGTGCTGCTTTCCAAACATGTCCAGGATCCTAAGTGTTTCTTAGGTTTTCTACAGAAGGCCATGCCAGAGTTGAGGCTTTCTCAGGACCACCGTCTGGGAGGCACAAACCAGTTCTTGATCAGATCGTTGGTACTTCTTCAATGAATCCATTGCTTTTGTACCTTTATGTGTTTTTAAAAAACTTTTAAATTTAAACTAGTTCTATAGTTGACTCTTAAGTTGATTATGTATAGTTTAAGCGCAAAATTGCATTGACTTAAAGTGCAGGATGCTCTAAGTTTTGACAGATGAGAAGACTGAAGGGTTCTTATATGGAAAAACTTCTTCACCCTCAAATGCTTCCTTCTGCGTGTTTGCTCCTGACCATCCTTCAGCTTTTTAGAAGTATGTACAGCTTCTACAACTTGAAATAAGTAAACTCAGAGTTTATCGCTTCTCAGCCATTTGGCTAAGATCAAGTGCAGTAAGTTTAGAGTCTGTACTCTCTCTGCATCAGGCTTCCTTCTCTCAGCCTAGTGATCTTGCAATGAACCTGAGTTGTGCTTTGAATCGGAACTTTATTCCTTTTATTATTGAGAAAACTTCAGCTTACTTATTTGTGGTTAATCCATTCCTGTGTGGTAAGTATGACATGGCATTGAATATGGGGGCTTGGCTTAAGCAAGTGACCCTGGCCAAGTTACATCACTGTGGAGGCACATTTCCTTATTAAGTTGGAAAGGTTGGATATGGTAGACATCTTGGGATCATTAACAGATACTTTTTCATAATGATTTTTCAAAACGGGAGAGATACTGTTTTTCCACCATTTAATTTTTTCCCTGATTTGACAAGTTGTAAATGTAGACATTAAAAAAAGATGTATTTATCTTTATTTGAAAGGCAGAGTTATATAGAGAAGACAAGATACAGAGAAAGATACCCCATCTGCCAGTCCATTCCCCAAATGGCTATAGTGGTCAGACCTGGGCAAGCCTGAAGCTAGGAGCCAAGAACTTTCTTTAGGCTTCCCAAGTGTGCAGGAGCTCAGCCCCAGGGTCCCCTTCCATGCTGCTTCCCCATCAGCAGGGAGCTGGACCAGAAATGGAGGCACCAGAACTTGATCTGCCATCCATATAGGACTCTAGTGCAGCAGGCAGATTAGCTTGCTAAGCCATGGTTCCAGGACCAACTACTTTTACAAAAAATGCAAATTATGCATATTGTTTGGAACTGTCCGGGTTTCCTAGGAAATGTTATTTCTAATATTCTTGAAATCTGAAGACTGGATCCCTTTTTCTTCTGTTGACATTTTACAAATAAGGCACAGGTGAAGCTCATACGACTTCAAATAGGAAATCCTTTCTCTTGGGGATCACTATGATGTGAATTTTTGTTATTGTATAATCTGAAAAACAAGAAGATTATTAAGCTAATTTCCTCATTTTGAATTTTATTATGATTATCTAACACTATTAATATTTTACAAAATTATGCTTCTAAAATTAATGTTTTAATCTCCCCAGTAAATGTGTATATGTATAGAGATGGAGAAAAACAATACAAGAAGAGAATTATTTATTCTGCCTTAGTCCTTTTAGGTAAAAGTCAGAACTTTCTCATGGCTCATTAAGCTTGTAACTAAATTATGGAGATGACAAAGGTGATACAAGAACTGAAGGATGAAGCACAGGATGCAGTGGGATAACTTTCTAGAAAATGGAGAGTGATGTTTAAGATGCATGCCCTTCATGCTTTCTCTTCCTGTGTGCTCCTTGGGCGGCTGGCTAGTTGGCTTTATTGCTTCTCCAAGGTTAAAAAGGCTGAATCGCTATTCTTCTTGAAAACTGCATATCCCATAGGAATAATTAAGACTAATAAGAAGCTGGGAGCAGAACCATGAGTAGAGTTAATGTTTCGTTCTTTTTCCCTCCTAGGGCATCTTGTTTGAGAAGAAGGTAAGCACCACATGCTTTGATGATTATGAATTACTTTAAAAGCTTGCCTTAGTTAATCAGTGTTATAATTCACAGTAAAAGATAAGGTGTGACTAAATAAAAGTGCTTAATTCTACTTAAAAAAATCTGTCAGACAGCATCTGGCTTTTTCTTAATGCTATCATACCCACACAGGCTGGAACCTGCCAAAGTCTGAGTTTGCCTAAAATAATGGAGAGCAAAAACTTTTAAAACTTGCAAGGTAGAATTTCTTAGAAAGAATACTTCAGTCAGTTGTGTGCTGAATCACGTTTGAATGCTGTGTCTTTACTCTGTGTTAATATTGTATTTCACTCTTGATTCAGTGTGAACGCAAGATTTGTGAATGTGAGAAGGGGGACCCAGGTGATCCAGGACCTCCTGTGAGTACATTTCTGCTTTGCTGGGCATTGCCCATTGTTCTTACAGTGGTAGCTCTATTCACACTTGAAACCCCTGGGGAAATTTCATACTGTTGAAACATTGTTATTTGAAATAACGAAAAGCCTTGCAGTTTTGTGACCTGCTCAGAGGGCAGACAGGGTTTTAAATGAAGTTTCTCCACTGAATATATCGCAGTGTCACTCCTGTCATCATTAAGGCCAGAATGTCTCAACAAGACAGTGAAAATGTAGGGAATGGAAGCACAAATCACCAGAACATTATCCTGCCAGAAGCAATGGCACAGCTGGCCTGGGAAGCTGTTGGTGCAGCAGTGACAAAGTGGCCTCCCGGACAGGAAGCTGCCCAGCATGCTGTACAGGGAGTTGGGTAAATCTTATGAGAAGGGAGCAATGCAAAGTAAATCCCAGAGTTGACTGCAATCATTCAGTACTTTTTTGGTCAAGTTTTCTTTATTTATTTGAAAGGCATTACAGGGCAGGGGGCAGCAAAGCCAGCTATCTTGTCCATCTGCTAATTCACTCCCCATATAGCCTCATTGGCTGAGTCTGAGCCAGGCCAAAGGCAAGGATCTGGCACTCTGTTGGGTCTTCCATGTAGGTGGCAGGAGCCCAAATACCTAGACTATTTTCTGCTTTCTCAGGCATATTAGAAGGAAGCTGGATTAGAAGTAGAGAAGTGAGGATTACAACCGGCACCTTTATGGGATACTGGGATGCTGGCATTGTACTGCAGGACATGGCTTAACTTGCTGTGCCACAATGCAGACCCTGATTATTCCATATCTGAGAAGATAGTCCTCAAAGTGCTTATTTATATTCTAGCCTAGTATTTGGTAGGTGTCCCATCTATTTTGGGAAGCATTTGAAATGGCATCAAGATTACTAGAGAAGCTGAACATTTTATTTATTGATTCACTTATTTTACTTGAAGGGGCAACAGAAAAAGAGAAAGGAAGGGAGGGTCGAAGGAAGGAGAGAGAGAGAGAAAAAGAGAAAGAGTCAGAGAGAGAGAGAGATCTTCAAATTCTCACAACAGCCAGGACCTGGACAGGCTAAAGTCATGATCCAGGAACTCCTGGTCTCCCCACATGGGTTATAGGGACCCAAATACGCCACATCACACTGCTTTCCTAATGCATACGGAACTGAAGTCGCAGGGACTCATTGTGGGAGGCAAGTGTGGCAAACTGTGCTTTACTCACTGCACCACAACTCTGGCCCTGTAGTCAGGGAGGCAAAAACCAGAGCAATAGCTAACAAGAGTGGAGATGAGCTCAAGGAGCGAGAGGAACCAGTGGTTTTTTCTAGCTTGTTGAAAACAAAGCCAAACTCCAGACAGTGTGATGGGTAACTTCTTGTTCCTTTTCATGTGCTGTTATGATAAGCTGAAAGCTTATCTCCTTGCTTCCTCTTGATAAACTTGGAAGCCCAACACTGGTTCAGAATAATCTTTCTCTTTCCCTTCAGGGCACACATGGAAACCCAGGAATCAAAGGTGAAAGAGGACCGAAAGGAAGCCCGGTAAGAGAATAATCAGCTGTTTAATACAACGCATCTGCTTCTGGATTTCTTTAAATGTCAGAAACTAATGAAACAGAGAATTGGCAAAAATCTGATATTTTTTTGTGAACAACACAGGATGTTTCCCTCTAATATTATCTATTTATAAACTCTGAGCAGTATCAGAGCATTTGGTTAGTAAATGGAGGAAACCTCAGAATGTTGAAAAATGGGAATGTGTTCTGAGATGATAGTGGCTCAGATTAACTTAGCGTTTTATGAGTGGACTTTGGCACCCAGTTTTTTTGTGAATAATATGAAAAATTACCATTTTCACAACATTTTTTGGATAATGGTGCTACAGGTTCAAAAAAGTCAAAAGGACTCAGAAGAAGATTAGCAGATGCAATTGAGGGAAAATTTGAAAGTCCAAGTTCGGAAGAGAAGGGAGAGTGGCAAGGAGAGAGATTCTTCACCTACTGGTTCACTCCCCAGATGACCAATGTGGCGAGGGCTGAGCTGGGCTGAGTCAGGAGCTTCTTGAGTCTTCCACATGGGGACCAGGCATGTGGGCAAGTTTCCTCTGCTTTTCCCAGGCCATGAGCAGAGAGCTGGACAAAAGTGCAACCGCAAGGATCAGAACTGATATGAGACAAAATTGTTACAATAAAAAGTAATCATTAAAATAAAGAGCTAAATATTTAGGGACATGTTTGCACCAAACAATGGATTCTGAGTTAATTCCTATAGAGTATGAAACCTTGTAAAATTAATGAGGCAATAGCAAGCCTATACTAATTACATGGGCAAAGGAAATGATCTTCAAGAGAACAAGCACAGCAAGTAAGCAAAAAAAAAAAAATAGAAATGCATTTGCTTTCTTTAGATAATGAAAGAAACTCGCATGTTACAGATCTCCTTTAACACTATTTATCTTAGAAACCTTCAAATCCAGAAAATTTAGGGGGGAAGAAGCAGTTTTCTACTTCACAGTAGTGTGTGTAGGTGTGTGTGTGTGTGTGTTGAACTTTAATTTTTTTTCTTATAGTAAGGCAACAAAACTAAAATAATAATAATACCCAGTGAGATCAATGTGCCGTGAAGCCGGTTTGCTCCTCACTGTCAAGGCAATTTGGCACACATATTTTGGAACACATACAACTCCTGTTACTCAGGTTTGTATTGATGCCAACATGCTTTCTTTTTGATGCATCAATACCTGTCATAAGTCTGTATTCACACTTCATTTATTTCATGTGCAATCTTGTGCCCCATTATAATTTTTCCAAGTCTTGCTGCAATCAAGCAGCCGCTGTTGAGGATGTTTAAAAAAACATTTTTAGCCACTTGGAGACAAGCTAAAAAGGCCACTCCAAGCAAAGACGATGCTCTGCTTGAGAAGAATGGCTGTGTTGTCAATGTGTGTGGCTGATGTGGGGTGCAGCCTATGCCGTGAGAACGTACTGGGGTTCTCCCCACACACCTCTGGTTTCACTGTGTTTATCTGAGCTGCTATTGTCATCCCTGTTGTAAGATGAAAATGTCAACCTTAAGATTTACGATGCTTTTGTAATGGGTTCACCTGTTAGTATGGGACTTTTGAAGGACACGTTGCATTGAGCAGTAACCCTGCAGGGCTGTTGGGTTCTGACTGAGTGTTTTTGTTTGTCGCAGGGGGATGCTCAAAAAGGGGAAACTGGAGAACGAGGGCCAGGGGTATGTATGCAACTGGAATGGGATGCTGGGTGCTCACACCAGGGGACAGACCATTTCGGTACTTGTGGAACAAGTGCAAAAGTGATTTCTGCCCATCTTTGCTCTGAATGGCCCAGACAGGCAACCAGACACACATGACACTTGAGGTGGAAATGTGAGATGATGTCCTGCTAACTAGCAGTGATGGTGGAACCAGGGATGTTCAACACATGATGTGCCCTCATGTATCAGGAGGCATTTGTGGGAAGCTTTTTTTGTGTGTTTGCTTTTGGTTTCTGCATGGCAAAAGAGTTATTTAGAATTCCAAGACCAGGGCCTCTTGTAATCCAGTTCTATAGACAAAATGAAATTATCTTCCTAGTTGATTTGTCATCTCTCAAGTTAGATGACAGAGTTTTTTGTGCATTTCTCATTTGGCATCTCTGTGGGCTCTGCATTAAGTGCACAGAATAGCAGAGAAGAACACAGTGGATGAAAAGGAGGCATGCTGTGTTGTCTTTCTCTGCCTTCCCCTGCATGCAAGCCCTGACTGAAACAGAGATTTCAAAAACTGTTATGAGGTTTTCAAATCCATTTCCTGAACATATCTCATATCTGATAATGAGTTTGATAATGGCAATAGAAATTAATTCGGAACTTTGTGTTACTTATTCTGGAAAGTTTTCTTATCTTCTCCATAAAAAGATGTTTGAACATGGAAATGAAACTAAGACCAAGTGTTTAAAATTTTGGAAAGTTTATTTTCTCGTAAGAATCTATGATAAAATAGTCTATGAGATTATTTCTCATAGTCAAAGTAGCTATGCATGACGGAGAATGTCAGTATCTTGGGAAAAGCACACAAGCAAAGTAGTGGAGGCATTCAGAGGAGATTGGAGCTACTGGGTTAGGTTTTGTGGGACGATCCCTGGAGAAGTGAAGGACTGGGACAGGCAGGGATAAACTAGAAGAGGGACAAACAAGCATTCCTGTTGGAGAGGATGCCCTGGGCAGCAAGGACCGGGAAGGAATGAGATAGCATCAGATGTAGCCTGCGGACAGGGCTGAGGTTCCAGTTAGGTGCTCAAGTCTGGCTATAAAATCCATGCTTTCTTGGCTGATCGGCAACACCTGAAAACATGGATAAAGTTTGTGAAAGCTCTGAAAAAGAGTTTGACACTTGGGACAAGCAAAAAGGAGTGCTTAGAAGCAGCTTTGGTACTGCAGACAACGAGGGCTACTAGCAACACTGACAAGCTCTGCTCACTGTAACATGAAGCCCATTGGCCAAATGTGGATGTGCGGCACTGGACACACGGCTGATCTGAACTGAGCTATGCAGTGGGAGAAAAAATATACATGGGATTTTTAAGACTTAGTACACACACGAAAATGAAAAATGTATCATTGAGACATTCTAAATGAAATTTAATCCCATTTTTAATATAGAATTTAATCAAATGCTGCAGTGGCAATTTTTTGAACTTCTTACAATAATAGAATCTATTATTAAAATTAATTTCACTTCTTTGCTCTTTGAAATGTGGGTAAGACAGCATATTGTATACATGGCTTGCATTTTTGTGCATATTATGCTGAACAGCATTGGGCTACAATGATGGAAAGACAGGAAGAGAACGTTGCAAGATTTTGGGAGGGATTGGGAATGATGACATGAAGTATTTAGCTCAAGTGTGCAACAAATACTGATTAAGCCATACAGTTGGTCCCTGACCTAAGTCATGTTCTAATAGGAATATACACACATAGGCAAACAAAGAATCCTTTTATTCAGTGAGAAATGCTAGGAAAGTATAAGCAAGATAATGAGGTATGTTAGGTGGAAAAAACCACAGATACAAAGGTTTCAGTGGGGGAAAAAGTCTGACAGGTATAAGAAATAGACAAAAAGCCAGAACCTGCTCATGGAGCGGGATGGAATGAGGCTACAGAAGTGGCTGGGAGCTGGATCACACCGGCCTGTTGGGCATGGGTAAGAAGAGCAAATTGCAAGCTGAGTTCTGTGTGAAGATGTTAGGAAATCTAACACGGATTGCATGAAGCATACCGCAGGTAAGGAAAAGAAAAAATGAAGGTAATTATGATAGTTTGATTCAGTGTGGTTTGTAATCACATTGTGACACCACTAGAAATAGGAAAATTAGAAATAAATTTGTCAAAGAATGGTGCCTGCCATGTTGGACATTTCAGATTATAAGGGCTGAGCTAAGGCTGAGCCTGGGAGCTGGGAGCTCCATCCATGTCTCTTGTGTGAGTGGAGGGACCCAGCCCTTGAGCATTTCCTCTGCCCTCCAGGGTTCCTAATAACTGGGAGCTGGAGAGGGGATGCAATGCAGAGTGGGACTTTGCTCTTCCTACTCGGACATCTTAATGGCCTGGCTGAATGCCCACCTCTAAATATTTTAAAGCTAGTGATTAAGATGCTCTGAAAAAAAGTGGGAGGGGGGAGTTGGTAACAGCCAAAAAGTAATTCAGCCAACTATTTCATAAATATTAAGAAAGAAAAAAAGGCAACATAGAAAGTAGTATTTCTTTATTTTTTGTTAAGGTGCATTTGGATTCTTTGAAAATGTAAACAATCTTTCAATGCAAAGTAATTACAGAGGGGTAGATGCAGTTGTGTGTTTCAAGGGGTGGCAGTGCTCTGAGCTTCCTGAGATTGGAATCCAGGCTTTCTTAGCACCACCAAGTGATTCTTTCCAGAGGTCCCAGCTAAACTCTATCTGATCTGGCTTTTAATTTAACTGTCATTTAAATAATGCAATGCTCCTCAGATATATTAACTGGTCACGTAACCATATTTTTGTGGGTTTTTGCTCTACAATATCTTCCTTTGTGGGGAAAAAAAAGCCACACTCATGACCACCTTGTGTGGTCTGCTTCTCTTGCAACTATCTCTTACAATTCTGTTTTCATACTTCTGAAATAAAGTTGGATGGGGGAAAATGTGAAATCCCAATAGAGCAAGACTTGCAGTGGCTTCAAGTCGGTTGATTCCTCAGCCCGTTGGAACCCTGGGTTCCCAGCTTTGGGCAGATGTGGGATGGACACAGCTGAGCAGGCATCCCATCATCACCCAGCAGGCAGCGAGGTTCTGGCCCCTCGTGTAGCATGAGAGAAAATGTCGATCTCTCAGGAAGCTGGATAAAGGAACCATTCATTTCCTTAATGTTCTAGATTCTTGAGCAAATTTGAAAGGAGGACTGTAAGGGAAACAGATATTTCTGTACTTTGCAAAGGCCATTCTGTCAGCTCGAGTTCCAGCCAATTTCTCTAACAGTCTCCGTAAGACAACTTTCTGTGGCCGTAGTTCATGGTTTAAAGAAAATGTAACAACTTTGAAAAGATTGCTAAAGGTCACTGCTTGAGCAATGGCTTTCAGGGGACATTCCTTCCTCAGCTTTAGAGCATAGAGAAAGAAATTGGGAACGAAAAATATCTGGAACTGAAAATAGAGTATAATGAAGAAAAACATTGTGTTTTTTTTAATCTTATCCTTAATAAATGTCCATTTCCAAGTATAAAGAGAAATGAAATATCTTGCTTGTCTATGATTTTTACTTTCTTGTACAAGTGTTTTTGTTACACCGTATGTTAAAAGTATCTAATATTTTTCTCTTTTATTTTATTTTTGTTAGGGAATTCCTGGATACAAAGGGGATAAGGTAAGTTGTAATAACAAAGAGATTGAAATTTCGAAAAGAAACATAGGAACAATTACACTGATGAGAGTTACTCCTTGTTTTTGTCTAAGTTCAGACATCTTCATTCCCCAGCATACCCTTAACTTTGTTAAGGTAACTATGGAACTGGATGGTGTGGGTGTGTGCTGTAAGGCATGGAAGAACTCTGGGATTCCTGAGATTAGAATCTAGTCCCTCTGAGCTTTGGAACCTGAATGCTGTCAGTGGGACCCCTGTTTTAGCGCTAGTGCAAGCTGATGAAGCCATGCTCCCCTTGCCGCTTACCCCATCGTGACAACCTAGCTACTGACTCCTTTCCCAGGGAATTGGGGGGATTTAGCCTGGCTTACCAAGAAAAACACCAAAAAATCAAAAACTACTGACTTGAGTAAATCAGGCATCTGGGTAGAGAATTTATAGTAGAAAAGAGGTAAAATTTGCAAAGAAGCAAACCAAAGGTATGGATGATTTTTGCAAGTTGGAGAATCAGACTGGTCCGATAAAAATTAACCACATAAGTCTAAGCCTTAGGAATCTGAGCATGCTCAAATGTTCATTGAGATATGAGTCTCAGAATTACACGGCTAGATTTTGGTTTGAAATCAGAACATGTTCCTATCATTTATTCTGCCTTACAAGTGTGTTAAAATGCTCAGGCCTGGGCAATAGGCCTAAATTGTGAGGTTCCACTGGCCTCCCCACCTCCTATGGAGTCAGGGGTCAGCATGGAGGTGTGGGCCCACTGTAGAGTATAGTTTGAGTTCACAATGGCCCAGCAGCCCCGCACACTGGCTGGGCTTGCTTGGCACACATACACAATTGCCCTTTTCACATTGCTCTTTCCACCAGGCCAGGAGGGGAACCAAAGCTGGCTGTTGGGGTGGGGTGCAACAGTGGTCACGTGGGGAACTTTCTGTGTACTCTGAAACATTTTTGTGCATGTGACCGTGGTGTCTTGTGCTGGAGAAGGAGCTGGAGATGAGAAGCAAGGTAGGGACAAGGCTTCATGTAGTGGGTAGGGGGCTGAGGATTTCTAAGGAATCCCCCAGTTTTTAATTCCATTTAAAGGTCCATCTGTCAAGAAAGAAAGTCAGAAGAGAATTGATTTATTAGTTTGATTTATAACTTCTAACTATTCAGAAGCGTGGCATATGGGCCTTCACCTGTGCTGTTATTCTTGGCTCTGCAAATACTAGGGATGACCCTGCATGCAGGGTCTATAAGTACATCCTAAGCACAGAAGTGTTAGGCCTGGCAGGGGTGAGGGTAAGAGTTCACATTATGTTGCACTTAGCAATCACAGGAACTTGGAATGCCTATTTCTTTACCCATATAGAACTGGATGAATACAGACCTGATGGATTTAGAGGGTGTTGCGAGAATAAAGTGGACTAATGGATGTGATAATTTTGGGAAACTCTTTGCTGGACTGCAAACGTAGGGGATCATGAAGGGGAAAGGAACAAACAGTATTATGGTAAAGTTAAAAAACATCACGATTGTTAAGTTATCCCATATGTCATTAAGGATAATTTTGGAGGACTCTCTGTCCCATCTGGATTTACACAATGAACTAGTTGCCAGGAATAGAGAAGTTTATAAGTGACTATTCTTTAGAATGTTCATGAGAAATGGAATAAAAAGATAAGCTTCTATGAATGCAAACATTTTTTTGAAATCCATGCACATGAAAAGGTCTCCATAGAAATGTACATGATAAAAAACTGTATGAACTTTCTTTTGAACAAAAAAGAAACTGTTTATTAAAAAAAGATTTTATTTATTTGAAAGGCAAGGTGACAGAGAGAGATGAAGAGACAGAGAAAAACAATTTTTGTCCAGTGATTCATTCCCCAAATGACTGGGAAGCCAGATGCTCAGAACTTCAACTGAGTCTCCTATGTTGGTGTCTGGGCCCTAAGGACTCTCCCAGGTGCATCAACAGGGAGCTGGAAGGGAAACAGATCACTGAGCCTCACATGGCTGCCCTGGAATGGGGTGCCAGTGTCAAGGCAAAGACTTAACCTGCTATACCACATGTCAGCTCCAATAAATGTATCTTTTAATTCCATTTTCCATGGTTTTAGAAATACCCTCATGTATTTTTTTGGAAATATTTACTTATGCTTTTGGGGAATTACAGATTTCTTGGAAGCTTTCTTGCTTGGAAAAAGAAATTTTCAGGGCAAAGTGATCCTGAACCATCGACCTTCAGTAGAAGCAGACATCCTCAGGAGGCAGAGGCTGGGAACAGGACCCATCTGTTCACGGCCTTCTGAGGGCTTGCTCCCTGGAGCTGTGTAACTGTGGCCATCTCCCAGGGATTGGTGAACCCACCAAAAATGAAAATGCCATTGCAAAGGCAAAGTGCATGAGTACAATGTTTTCATTGATGGAAATCTGTTCCCAAAACAAACGCTGTTCCTGAGGACCCTATAGCTAACAAATCTGTCTGGCCAAATGGAATGAGAATTCTGGCCCAAAGAATTTTGAATGTTATTTATGGTACTTTCTGTTTTATATTTTGGTGGTTGACTCATTTTATTCCCATTCAACATTAGTAAATTAAGTACTTTCTAATTGAGTCTTCAAGGGTGATTTTCCATTTGCATTCAGAAATAAAAGTTCAACTTGTTCTACATAGAAAGTCAGTTTTTCCTGGTTGGTTTGACTCATAGAATGAGGAAGAGAGAGAACAGATTGCTTTTGAAGAGATGCATAATTGGTTCTAAATAATTGCCTCTCCTTGTTTTCTGCTCTTAATGTCAGCAAGAGCCCAGACAGTACTCTAGGTGAAGGGTCAGGTTGATGGGAAAGGGCTTGACATGATGTTTAGCCAGTAACTTGAACTTGGAAATCTGATAAACACAAACTCATGGTCATGGGCGAACTGCTCAATTTCTGTGAGCCTTACATTCCTTATCTATTAGTGGCCTATCTATCTTTCCATCTATCCGTCAATACTTCTATTATCCAGTAATCTATACATCCTTCTCTCAGTCTCCCTTCCCTTGCCTTCCCTGCATACCTATCTACCTAGTCTTTGTTCTCAAGTCAGCTGTGGGGACTAACAGAAACATGGAAGCTGTTGCACACAGCTCGCAGCGTGAGTGGTGGCTGTAGTTGTTGTAATCTTCGCAAGAGCAGCAGTGTTGAAAGTGCGGTTGGTCTTCAGGCTGTCAGTCTGATAATTGTGGCTGTTGTGCTGTCCTATTTAAACTTGCAGCAGATTATAAAATCATTACATTATCAACTATTTTAGTCACTTCAGCTGAGAGTTTTCATGGTAAGACTGCCACAATGAAGGAAGTAATGATTTATGTCCTTATATCATTGTGTAGTGGTGCTTTGAGCAGCAAAAGTGCCAACTAGTCTTGAGGACACTAAACAGCGAGTCATTGATGAGCACATCTATGGAAGTAAATCATTTAATTCCCCCGCTGGATTTTCTTAAAAGTAAGAATGCTTTGGAACGCAGAATACATACATGCATGAAAGCCCTTTGAAAATTCGAAAGTGTTTTGTAAAGGAGATGGTTTGATGATAAAATTTTAATAATTTTTTATTTTAAACAAATTTTTAAGAAGTGCATTCATTTTAAGACCCATTTTTAAAAATTGCCATGTTAATAAAAAGAAGGGATATACTTGCTTATTTAATTAGAATTAGAGGGAGAGACAGCGAGAGCTTTCATTTGTGGATTCCCTCCTCAGATGGCAGCAGTGGAAAGCCAAAGCCAGGAGCCAAGAGTTCCACTGGGTCTCCCAGGGCATGCAGGGTTCTGAGCACGTGGGCCTTCTGCTGCTGCTTTCTCTGCCATTTAGCTGGCAGCTGGATCAGATGTGGAGCAGGTGGGATACTAACTGGCACCCATAGTGGGTACCTTCACCCACTGTGTCACAGTGCCAGCCCCTTAGAAATTTTTTCATTGACAGGAATTGCATATGTAAAATATCATATGCAGTATGATATTTTAAAATATGAATGCACTAAAAGATGACTAAATTAACTAATTGATATGCTTCACCTCATATCTGTCATTTTTTGTGCATATGTGTGTGGAACACTTGAGCACTCTGCTAATGATTTTCTAGAATACAAGCTCTTGGTCACTGTGTTGTGTTAATAGATCTCTTGGGCTTATCCCTCCTAATATTTTCTCTTTTAGCCAGCATCTTTCCAGCCCTGTACCTGCTATCTCTGATGACCTTGATTCTATTCCCAAATATGAGTTCAACTTTTTAAGGTTCCAGATATAAGTCAGGTCAAGCAGTACTTCTTTCTGAGTCTGGCTTATTTCATTTAACACAATGGCCTCCAGCTACAATCATGTTGTCACAAACAGTAAGATTTCCTTTTTATAGGTGGAATAGTATTGCATTGTATATATGCAAGGAGACTTTGAAAAGTTTGTTGAACGTAGTCTGAAAAAAAAAAATAGTTTTCTTTAGCACAGAAAATGCCTTTCATGTAGTATGCATTTTGCATGAATTTTCTGAATATCCCTCATAATCATTTTGAAATACAAATTTTCAGTCTGTGAGACCGGGTTATTAATATCTCTTAGATGTTAACGTCACATTACATGAACTTAGTGTAAAATTCTGTTTGTAAATTCTAAAGCCTAAGTCCATTTTTTTTTTTTTTTTGCTTGCCAGTAATAGTTAAGAGAAGTAAGTAGAGCTTGAGTTTGGGTATGGCATGTTTGTGGCTACAACCCAAACCTTATAGTACAGCTGGCTTTGAGGGCACATCCTGGGTCCCATCCCACCCTGCCGTGACAGACTGTCTCAGGACCGTTCTTTCACAGCTCTCTAAGCAGATGCTACTAGTTGGTCAACAGGGACGTTCAAGCTAAATGCTAGTGTGGTAGAAAATCAGAAACTCTGAGAGCTGAGCTGGGTTCCAGTCTGATCCTTCTGCTTCCTGGGTGTACGGTCCAGGGAAGTTTTTTCATCAAATTTAAATTTTCTCGATTACAGTAAGAATTGTAAAATTCATCTCATGGGGCAGGTAAGGAATCACCTGACCAAAGGTTATCTAATCTGTGTTAGATGTTCACTTCCTTTTCTGTCATGTTTCATGTGGTGATATCACTGTCTTGTCAGGTATCACTGTGTTGTCAGGTAAGAATGACTCAAGGGTACGAATTTTCCAGTTCAATGGCCGTTCCACCCACAACCTTGAGGCATAAAATGGAGTAGAAAGCAGCCATGCTAATGTGGTAAGACTCTGGTTATGTTAAAAAAAGAAGTCCTAACATTGAATGGTGCAAATTTTCTCTCTCTCTCTTTCTCTCTCTCTCTTTTTTTTTTTTTTTTTTTTTTTTTAGGGTGAGCGTGGAGAATGTGGTAAACCAGGAATAAAAGGTGACAAGGTAAGGAACATTTAAATTATGTATTTATCTGCATAAACAAGAGATATAGAGAATATTGTGAGGTAAAGAAAGCAATCCAGATAGTCCACATAAGTGACAAAACAAACAAACAAACAAACAAGACGACCGTCACTGCTGCTTCCTAGGGTCTCTCCTGGCAGGAAGCTGGAGTTGGGTGCCGGACCTGGAAGTGGAAGCCATGTGGTTTGATGCGATACATAGCTGCTTAACTGCTAACCTAAACTCCTACTCCAGTAGTTGTTTTTAAAATGCCAACATCTGTGGTCTGATTTGGCCTGAATTTTCTTGAGAGGAAATTATTTGGATGAATTTTGTGGGTCTCACCATTAAAGTTAGAAGGCCAATCTTTCCCATTTGTGAAAGATAATGTAGCAAACTAATTATCTTAAGACTGCTTCATGATACCCTAAACTCTGATGTCAGGCATATTCAACATTATGGTGAAAAGAATAGTTCAACAAGCAAAATGTTAAATAAGCCAATGCAATAATCATAAATAATGTAAGTTGAAGTTTTGAAAATGCAGCAACAAACACAACGGGACAGATAATTATCTTTGTTAAAACATAAGTATGAAATAGAACTAAAATCAGAAACAATGTTAAATATTTTATGAAATTCCTTTATAGGCCAAAAACAGAGACAGCATTTCTGAAACTTACTGACCCTAGGAAGCTGCCCATAGCGGATGTATCCTATAAATGTGTGTTAGGATTACATGCTAATAAGAAAAAAAAACAAGTAAAAAATAAGAATTAAAAAAAGATCTGTGCTCAAAGATGTTCATTATATTTTTTAAAAATCAGTAATCTGTAATACTTTAAAGTCAAAAACATGAGAAATGAGAAAGTAAATTATAAATTCTGACCCTTAAATATTTTTCAATGACATGGAACAGTATTTGTGAGACAAATAAGCAGTGCTTTACTAAGCTCATGTTTAGAAGATAGGCTAAGGAGCGATCTAAATATGGAAACTAAGGTGAACACCTACTTTAACGTATTCTTTATTTTTGGAAGAAAACATTTCACCATGGCTACTGACTTCTACTGAATACTACCTAGTAATTTCTTTATTTTGGTCAAAACATCAGCATAGGGCTCAGCATTGTGTCACAGTCTATTAAACCCGAGTATCCCATATCAGACTGCTGGCTTGAATCCTGGCTGCTCCACTTCTGATCCAGCTTCCAGCTAATGCATCTGCGAAGGCAGTGGAGGATGGCTCAATTACGTGGACCTATGCCACCCATGTGGGAGACTCAGAGTTCCTGTCCTCTGACTTTAGCCTATCCCAATCCTGACCATTGAGACCAAGTCAATCAGCAGGTGGAAGATCTCTTTGTATTTCTTAGTCCCTCCATCAAACTGCCTTTCAGTATTCTGGCCAACTGCTTACGACAAAAATTACACTGCACGGAATCTGTAAACTATAGGCATATTTGGACTCTCAGTAGCTCTTCAATAGAGATCATTTAACTTGCTGGCCAAGTTGTTTGGACAACTAGAGAAGACTGGCAGTTGACCAGAATAGGTTTCCTTCCTTTCTACCTAAAATTGCTGTATTCACCAGTGTGTAGATAGAGACATTTACCATCGGCTTTATTCCACAGGGATCCCCAGGACCACATGGCCCGAAAGGACCCAGGGGACTTCAGGTAAGACATCTACATTCCAATCTAAGTCCCCTACATAGTGTTAGGAATCCCTTTGCCTACCTGTGCTCTTTATGGATTTAACCAGAATGTCTGGGGTTGGAACCAGCATCAATATTTTAGAAGACTCCCCAGATGAATCCACTGTGCGTTCAGTAGGTAAACAACTCTTCCAATGTTTCAATTAACAAACTCAAGCAAGAATTATGTAGTGGCAGGCAAGTCTGCTTGCTTAGTGAGAAGTTGAGGAGATGAGAAAGATTACCATCTGGGAAGACGGGGAAAGTAAAAATACTTAAAAGCAGGAGGTAATTGTGCCGGCGCTGGTGCTACAAGATAGTTGGAAGATCTATGTACTTCCTCTAAATTACAGCGCTTGTGTTGTTCTGTCACTTTAAGTAGTGAATATTTTATAGTACGGAATGATTCTTTGGCGCATTTATTTAAATTATACTTATTCCATGGATTTAAAAAAATAATTTGGATGAGTTTTTTCCAATCTATGCTAAAGGTTTAACAGGGTGTGAGTGTGAAGAGCTGATTATGAATATTTACTGAAAAGTATGTTATTGCCCAAGATTTTCTAGATAATGACTAATTAATAGACAACACCTTTGTTTTGACCTGGAGTTACCAGGGCAGTAACTAATTATCTCATGGCCATTGAAAAGTCTTTCAAGTATATAAGCTTTAGATATTTAAAAAGTTGTTAAATGCACAGACTGCTTCAAAAATAGAATTCATAACAGGAAAAAAGTTTGGAAATACAGGTTTAGAAAACAAAAATCTCTAATAAAATGCTTAATCTCAGCCTAAGGGCTGTTTTAGAAGTATCTTATTTGACTTAGGCAATTTTATCTCATCCCATTTTTCATTTGGGATGCATTCTCAGTTTAGCTCTAGTTATTTAGTCTGACTTCTAACATCCATGATCGTTGAGAAATGGCTCTTTCCTAGTGGGCTTTTGCATACAGGACTAATTCTTGGTTTTATGTTGGACAGGGCATCAGTGGACCTCCAGGGGATCCAGGCCCCAAAGGATTTCAAGGCAATAAGGTAATTTTACCTTTGGTTTTGGCTGGCTGACTGCCTTCCTCTAGCGTACCATGGCTACGCAGGTTTTATTATGTACAAGTTAATGGACTATGAAGAAATACCTTTGGAAAAACATAATAAACTGCACGAGTCGGCACTGAACCGAATCCAAGTCCAAGTCTGTGGCACAGATTTATCATTATTCTCTTATTCAAGAGAGAATGATTCACTATGAAGCATCATCTACCATCATTTCTGTATTTCCTTCTTTTTTCTGACCATGAGTTATTTTATGGTTTTAGTAACTGAGAGGCAAATAACACCATTGAAAGCACTGTTTCCCACAGGTGACGCCAACTCTGAGCATGGTTTATAGTGAGAGTGAATTTACACGTTCTATAACAACAGAAGGAAAGCCACTAAAAACAGGCAACGTCAGCCATCAGTCCCAGCTTTGTAATTCAATCCCACAGATAAGCAGGCAAGACAGAAAGGTAGTAAGTGCCAAACTGAGCCAACAGGTGCTGTTAAGAGGGATCTTTAGGAGTGTGCCTTTAAGGTTCTCTTTTCTCCCCAAAGAGAGTAGTCATCAATTTGACTAAATAATTAAATTTTGTGTCCTTTTGAATTCTTCTTCGTTCGTGGTAAATTTTGTGGGTATAATCAATAGCCAGTAAAAGGTGCTGATTCGGCAATTAGAGCAGAAGGGAATACGACCACAGAGGATGCTGTCCCCGACTGACCCAAGACAAAGGCAAAATTTTTAGAGCCTATTTTCAAGGGGGATACTACGTTAAATTGTAGGGAGTAGTCAGGTTACTGGAGTGCTCATTTTCCCAGAGAGAGGAAAGTGAGTGAGAACCGTAGTATTTTTAATGAGATAATGACAGCCCGTAATTTCCCAGGCCACTTTTAACTGGCAAATTAAAATAGAATGGGCTTCTCAGCAGGCGTGTGCTTAAGCTGCATTTGGGGAGATGTTCTTTTCCAGTCCTTGCCCGTGATTGATTCTCTCTGAGGAAAGAGCGATCCTGTTGAATACAGAGTAGAAGTGCCCATAAAATTGCTTTGGCTGTAGATAAAAATCTTACAGTGGGAAGAGAAATATTCTGAGAAAAACACATATTTCTAGGATTCTGTGGTTACTAATGAAGACAATTTTCACACAGTTAAAATCAGGCACCAGAACCAGAGCTTGCCACAGGGTTAGAATACACTGAGGTTGTGTCACAGGGTGTGTTAAGAGACCGTCCTGCCCAACATCTTCACTTTGGAGGTCAGAGGTCCAGCCAGCTCCCATCAGCCCAAGGGGTACAGGGAAGATGGTGGGCTGGGAGCAGTAAATGCACCTTGGGGTGACCGTGGCAGTGGGCAGGGGGAGGGACAGGTCTCCAATAAGGTGCCATTGTTTGATGGCTTCTCCACAAAATTTAGCTTTGAATTCCAACAGTGCATTCATTCTTATTAAGCAATGAACCAAGTGTTTTCTTGGACAGGGGGAGTGACGGCCCCTGTTGTCTGACATACTAATGCTTTATATTGACTTGTACATTGTGATCACAAGAGTTGTTTTTTCACGAATGTTAGAGGAATTCATTATTTTAACAAGTGCCTCTCTTGAAATAGAACTTTTTAATTAAAAAAACTTTAACAAAAATTGTGGTGAAAGAGGCATGACATAAAATTTCCACTTAGGCTTTAATCACAAAGTTCGCTGCCAACTGAACAGAGTCTATGATTTGTTTTCCAGGCAATGTTGAGGGACACTGGGAGGCTCTTAGGTGGGCAGGAGTCTCTTATCTTCCTCCTCCTTATGTTTCTGGTTTAAGGTCATAAATTTAGTGGTCTGTTGGCTGCTACTTTGAAATTATTTCAAACCTCCATATAATTTCTACTATTCTTAGCATTTGTTAGAGTCAGATATCTATAACACATTAATTATTACCTTTTGTTTCTTATTTTATACATTTAGTAGTGTGTTGTTCAAAGACTTGAATTTCAAAAAATAATTTCATCTTACCCCCCAGAATGTACTTTTAAATGTTGAAGCTATAACAAATAATTTTATTCCACAATCTGTATATAACATATTTTACAGCAACATCTCTTTTTATCAATTATAATTTTATTAGAAAATACTCCTAGAAACCTTCTATTTTTATGTTTGCAAAAAGTCTCTAAAATCCAGGTATTCTGCATTTTCTAATGGCTGAAGGACAGAAACTTCGTTTTCAGTAATGATTAGTTAACATATACTTATTAAATGATTGCTATTTGCATATATCATGTAAATACTCATTTTAGACTATCTTTGGTAGGAAGATATTTTTTCTCATCCCCGTTATAGAGATTAGGCCAAAAAAGGTATAAAGTGCCTCTAAAGTTACACAGCTAGAACTGGGACAGATTCACGCACAAAAGTCTGCATTTAGCTACTGTATTCATCCCACAGATTGAATGAAAAATAGTCAGCCGTTCCTTGACTATTTGGCCTGAGATAAAGGCATTTCTTCTGGATGCTTTGCAAAGTGTGCTGTCTCCCTTCAAGGCCCTCTGGTTAGGAGCAACAGTTTGTTGACTGGTGTGTTTCATCACATGGCCCCATAAGTAGTTCCTGAGTGAATGAGCAAACAAACAGCACAAAGAGTGAATGATTTTTCAATAGTACACCTTATCCACAGGGGATATATTCTAAACTATATATAATGTTATATATACATTTCTATAACAATGTTTAATTTACAAATGAAATACAAAAGGGATTAAAGTCTATAATCAAATGGAGATTGTAAAATACACTGTTAAGTATTACTTAAAGTTTATGAATTACTTCATTTTGTAGCTTCTTATTTAATATATTCTGAATATGGATGGCTATGGGTATCTGGAACCAGGAAAACTGAAGCCACAGGTGAGGCAGTGATGCACTGTCATAAATGGATAAATAAAATAAGTGGTCAGCTGTACTGTACTGAAGATGGAATAGGCAATTGCCCGAGAATCATTGATGTGGTCATTGAAAACCTTTGCAAAAGTAGTTTCAATAGTGCTGTGACAGAAATGGTGATGCGGTGTCTATAGGCGAAATCAAAAGTCAGGACACGGTGGTCAGGACTGCTGACCATTCTCCCGACTCATTTGGTCATAGAGAAACAGGTTGTTGATGTAACCCATCAAAACGTTCTTGGGTATTAGACTTTTTCAAAGTGCTGTGAAGACTGGTGACTTGAACCTACTTTTTACAGTTTCATATATATTCATATAACTTAGAGGCTCATGTTGTCTTTCATGTATCTTCAATAGAATGGAAAAATCAGTTCTAAGTATTCTGGGTTAGTAGATTTAAAAACACCATTTTTTTCAACAAGCTTATGGACTCACTCAACATAAGACAAGCAATAGGAACAACTTGAAGTGGCTGCCAGAACACATGGGATGACACCCAATAGCTTCAAGGTAGACGATGCAGAGGACTTCCATTCCCAATTCTCTGATACAGGCAGTTCTTAGGTAGTGGAGCACAGTGTGTGTGTAAGAGATTGTCTGAAAAGAAGCTTTTATAAACCAAGGAACCCAGATGCCATGAAGTTGCCTAGTTGTTCTCAGTGCTGATGGAGAGCAGAATCAGGCCCCGCAGTGTCTTATTGGATTTCACATTTAACTATATCAGCATCCGATACTCCTTCAAGGACATTATGATAGTAGCTTTGCAACAGGCAAAATTAACTTTATTTCAAATGTATGGTATTACTTATTTTTCATTGTATATTTTTCATATGTTTATTTTTGTTTTGTGAATGAAACTTACTAGGAAATTTCACATTACACTTCCACTCTCTGTGTGTTTCCTTTGGGAAGAGCTACCGCACACAGTGACATTACTTTGTGACTTGTTCTGTGGTTCCTTGGAGCCACAGGGCTGCTGGCTGTCCCCAGGATGCTGCACCTCATTTTATGCTTCACATTCTCTCCTCTTCCTGAACTCTGGCCCCTCTTCTTTCCTGTCAGATTAGCCAGGATGCCTACTTCTTTGTTCAATTGAAAAAAACAAAGACAAAAACAACTTCTCTAATGAAACTTTCCCAATTCCTTAAGGCATAATTAAACATTTCTGCCTCAGAGACTTGTGTGCTCTGTTAATGCTTTTATTATAGGTAACTGGCATGCTTGTATTTGTTTTATGTTCATTTATTTCTCCAACCAGATTGTGTAAGCTTCTGTGAAGTGCAGGTGCAATCTGATTTAGGTCTAATTATGTAACCTGATACTCCATTAGTGGCATAAAACTTTTAAAAATTGTAGTAAAAAGAACTTAATATAGAATATATCATTTGCTTGAGTTGTGAGTAATTTAAGAGTGTTAAATGCATTCATAGTGTGTATAACCTTTACCAAAACCTGTGTACAAAACTTTTCATCATCCCAACAAAAACTGGGTATCTACTGAATAGTAACTGCCAACTCTGACTTCTCACAGATTCTGAGGTTAAGTGTGTAAGAAACATATCACTTTATCACATGGGCCCACCTCCTCTCATTATCAGCATCCTTGGTGTCAGATTAGGAACACTATTCACTACCATTTCCTGGTAGCTCCGCTCCCTCTGTGCCTCAGGAATTGGAACTGCGGCCACCAGCATCACAACTCACACGCTGCTGATTAGCTGCCAACTGCTCCTTGCCTTCAGGAAAAGAATCACACATTCCATAGATTGGGAAAAAAAAGACTTATTTTTATTTGAGTGGTAGATTTTAGAGAGAAATGTGGAGAGACAGGGATCCTTCATCTACTCACTCACACACCAAATGGACAGAGCAACCGAAGCTGAGCCTATCTGAAGCCAGGAGCCAGAACCTTCTTCTGGGTCTTCCACATGAATGCAGAGGCCAAGGTCTTCACTGCTTTCCCAGGCCACAAGTAGGGAGCTGGATGGAAAGTGGAGCAGCCAGTTTGCAAATTGCTGCTTGTATGGGATTCAAGCATTGCAGTTGGTGGCTTAAACTGTGGCACACTAGAGGGCCTTACTCTGATTTTTGATTGAAACCCAGCACAATATTTTGTTAGCTGTGTGATCTGGAAAGTTTATTTTAGCTTCCTATGACTTGGTTTTCTCATCCATGTAGTTTGTTAAGACAAGGAAACCCTCTGAAAGTTTTGTGAAAATTAAATGAATTGCTATATGTGAGAATTACAGAATCATCTGTTGCATAGTAAGTGCCATATGGGTTGGCAAATTTCATTAAGTTATTAGGTATTTTGACAAGTTTATGTTAATCAAACCAAATATACCCTGATGTTTTCTGAAAATAAGATTTTATTACGCAATACTTTCTTTTAAGCAAGACAGATTAAATGCAAAATGGAGCTCGATTTAACAAATACTTGGCACATATTAACTGTATCTCCCCTCCCTTTCTTCCTCCCTCTTTTCTTCTTTCCCTCGTCCCAAATGTTTATTCCTCCTTTTCTACCATTTGGAAGGGTGATTGCATTGTTTCTAATCGTATTATCCAAGAAAAGTTCTGGTCTGAAATAATCCCAAATCTTGGAAAACATTTTGTTATTTCTTATTGTATGGAAGGAAGGAAGGAATTGTTTTTGATGTCATGACTGCAAAATGTTAGATTTTGGTTTCATATCCAGTTTCATGACTAACAAATGTTAGTTTTTCTTTATCTGATTTTTCCTGTGGCCGTTTATTATGGTTTAATTACCATTGTAGCTGAAAAAAAAAAAAAGCCTGGTTAATTGCATTTGACCAAGTTTGTAGGAATAGCCATGTAATAGGTAGTTGATATACAATGTAGTTTGTATGCAGTTGGTTTGGGTTGAGAACTCAAAGGAACGCAGTAGGAACATTTCCAGGCCCATAGTTTTCACCAAATCCCCAAACATCAATGTGCTCTTCTATTCCCAACCCACTTAAATGTTGGTGTTGTCCATGGTTCTGACCTGAATCTGCATTGTCTAGTAGAGTAGCCACATGTGGTTACTGAGCAGGTGAAATGAGGATGGTCCAAAGAGAGATAAAAAGTATAAGTGTCAGTGACATTGTACTTGCAAGAATTAGTCTTAAAATCACAAAAGTTATTACTATTTAAAAATATTGATTATATTGAAATGGTATTTTAATGTTAATATAATGTTTTTTATTATTTTTCATGTTTATTTTTGTTTTGTGAATAAAACTTACTAGGCAATTTCACATTACACTTGCACTCTCTGTGTGTTTCCTTTGGGAAGAGCTGCCACACACAGTGACATTACTTTGTGACTTGTTCTGTGGTTCCTTGGAGCCACAGGGCTGCTGGCTGTCCCCAGGATGCTGCACCTCATTTTATGCTTCACATTCTCTCCTCTTCCTGAACTCTGGCCCCTCTTCTTTCCTGTCAGATTAGCCAGGATGCCTACTTCTTTGTTCAATTGAAAAAAACAAAAACAAAAAAAAACTTCTCTAATGAAACTTTCCCAATTCCTTAAGGCATAATTAAACATTTCTGCCTCAGAGACTTGTGTGCTCTGTTAATGCTTTTATTATAGGTAATTGGCATGCTTGTATTTGTTTTATGTTCATTTATTTCTCCAACCAGATTGTGTAAGCTTCTGTGAAGTGCAGGTGCAATCTGATTTAGGTCTAATTATGTAACCTGATACTCCATTAGAGAAGTAAATCATTACTCTCCGGAATGTTGTTGACCACCAACCTGGTACAGGCAAACCTACACACACATGTGACTGTTATGGCCTAGGTATTTTATTTTTTATATTTATTTTTTAATGCCCTCCAAAATACTGCAAGGTGGAAATCATCATTCTCGTTCTGCATGTGTGGATACTGCAAATGGTCAAAGTGTTAGTAAATGATGAAGACAAGATTCCACCAGACTGAATCCCTCCACAGCCGTGTTTCTTTCCCCTCTGATTTTGTCCATGCTAAATTCATTGGCTAAAATATGGAGACTATAATTCTGTGATGTAAATTAGATAAATATGTTAATTTGCTAGGAATGTTAGAAGATTAAATGAGGTAACAAATGCAAAAGTGCCAGAGCAGGGCCTTTTTATAATCATGTAATTGAAGCAGTGTTAAGTGTTTAATTAATTAATAAAATTAATTAATAATTCTACATATTCAATTTTGCATATTTATAGGGTATAAGTGATATTTCAATACGCAAATAATATCCAACAAGCTACATACGTTTATTCTTTATTTCACTTAATGCAATATCTTCAGTTCTATCTGTGTTATTTAAAATGTCAGGATTTTATTTCTTTTTGTAGCTCAGAAATATTTTACCAGGTACATGTATCATATTTTCTTTATCCATTCATTGACAGATATGCTTAGCTTGTTTTAACTTCTTGCTCTTGTGAATAGTGCTTCATTAAGTGTGGAAAACCAGATGTCTGCCAGATGTATTTCATTTCCCTTGGATATATATCCAGGAATGGGATTGCTGGGTGATAAGATAGTCTATTTTTAGTTTTCTGAGAACCCTTCACACTATTTTCTGCAATGCTTGTATGAGTTTATATTCCCATCATAAGAGTTCAAGTATTCTCTTTTCTCTATATCCTCAACAATATTTGTTATCTTGTCTTTTTGATATGCATTTTCTTGATGAGGCTGAGATTTTGTTCATGTACCTATTGACCATTTGTATATCTTCCTTCGAGAAATGTCTGCTTAGAGCTATAGTCTGTTTTATAATTGGATTATTTGGCTATTTGGTTATTGAGTTGTTTGAGTTTCTTATATATTTGGGATCTTAGTCCCTTGTCAGGTATATTACTTACAATATTTTCCCTCATTCTGTAGATCAGTGTCTTCATTCTGTTGAGTAATGTGTGCTAAAACACGTCATCTCATGAGGACCAGGTCTCTAGCTAAATGCTTGGGCAAGTCCAAACTGTCCGTAAGCACTAGAAACCACTATGATCTGTCCAGATGCTTCTCAACAGACATTTCCCAAAGAAAGACGTCACAGAGTTGTTTCCACAGGGAGATGATTATTGATACCTCTGACACAGCCACCGTCTGGATTTCATTCCCTCTTGAAACTCAACAGCCAATATTCATTAACTCAGTGAGAGTATTCAATCTTTAGCACAAACTAAATGTACATGTGTGTATGTGTGTTTGTATATAAAGAAGAAAATAGACCTCAGTCTAATAGCTTAAACTATTCTTCATGTTATAGTTCTTAATATATGAAAACATTTATGCCATGAAGATTAATTTGATAAATAGAATACATTCATATTATAAGCAGAGCAACTGGAATCAGTAGTCATTGTGCTTTTCTCATTATCATACTACTGGGGCTGGAAGCCCATGAGCTCTGAAGAGCCACGTCTCTGTGAATGACATTGAGGGGAGAATTGGGACTGGCTCCGTAATTTCTTGGGTCATATGTAAAATGTAAGGGTTTGAGTGCCATGGTTTCATCCAATTCTGGTGTATTTGAATTCTGTTACGTGCCTGCCACATAGTATCTGGTCGTTAATTGGGAATGATGTTGCTTGAATAGCAATGATGTTGACTAAGAATGATTTAAGCCATGATAACTGTTTATTAAGGAAGTGAAACATTTGGCAGTAGGTTATCTAGGACCGGATCAGTAACTCAACAGAGTTATCTCGAAGCCAGAATTTTTCCATTTTTCTTGTGTTGTCCTCTTCAACCACTGTTTTTCATCCTTGAGAATGTTGTTTCACAAGAGAGTTAGCACACTTCTGGGTGGGAATAAAAAAAAAAAAAGCAAAGGCTTGTCTCTTAAATGCATAAATCCTATCTCATTGTCCAGAAATGAGCACCTGTGCAAGCAGACTAACAGTGGCAAAGAAAAAGGAGAAATTCCAACTTGCTTGAGACTGACTGCCCTTTCTCCTGCAGCTCTGAGTGCCAACAAGAGCTGCCCACTGACCTGAACCGATCAGGGTTCCATCAGCAGACAAGAGGAGGGAGGCAGAGAATAGCCAATGGGCAGGAAACAGAATGTGTGTGCTGGAGCCCTTGAATGCTGGATGAGCAAATGAGGGCTACTTTGTCTCATTCATGCATCTTAAAAATATTTTTGCCCCATGTGATCTTCCTCTATTAAAAGCATTTTATTCCGTGACTGTTAATGGATTTATTGTTCTATATTCCTTATTATTAGACTTGTATTTTATTCTGATTTAAGAAATTAAAATTCATTTTCATGGGCTCTTCAAAGTACTGTGGGCTAGATACTGTCTGTGCCCACTACACCTGGTGGGTAATTTGACCCTGGCTCTATGTTGTTTTTCTTAATGGATTGTAAACAGTCAGTAGCAGGACTCTCTACTAGGTTTCATTGTTACGTTCAAAATTCCTGCTGCAACACCATACCTATGTATGCTGCTAATGTTAGGGTGACCTAACCCATCACTGTGTCTTCCCCTAGGGTGAGCCAGGTCCTCCTGGTCCTTATGGCCCTCCAGGAGCCCCTGGAATTGGACAGCAAGGTGTTAAGGTAAGAATACTTGTCTCTTTGTCCTTTGATGACCATTGAATTTACAGCAGGGCCCAAGGGAGTGTGAGTTAAATCTTGTTCAGCATGGCTTTGTCTCCAGGAGGAGCCTTCTTGGGGAAGCTCTTTAGGGTTTGTAGGCTTAGATGGCAAAATGTCCTTGGCAGAGACAAGAACTATAATTGTAGTTTTTATTTGGCTGGAGGAAAAATTCATCTCCAAATTCATACATCCTCTTACCGATGTTCATGTACTTTTGCCGAACACTCATTGTTTTAAGCATTCGTGTTAGAATATGCTATTAGGGAGTGTGACACGTTAACCATCAGTTATCACTTTAAATTTATTTAATAAAACAAGCACAGTGGAACAGAGGCCATTTATCTCATGACACTGAATAAATGTCGACTGAACATTTGTGGGGAACTAGAAAGGGCTGTTTCTGCTTCTGGGAGATTTTGCATCATCCAGACCATGGAAAAGCAGAAGTGCTGTTTTAAATGGGCTTTCTTACTGGCTGAGCTGTAAGCCTCTAAAATAGGTCTGTGACAGAGAGCAGTCAAACGGACACCATCCAACATCATTTGATCAGGACTTCAGAAAGTATGTGGAAGCTGGAATTAAATCATCAGCTAGAACAGAGTAGAGTTAAGAGAGGGGAAGCATTCCAGAAGGATGGCACCGGAGTGGGAGACAGTGCAAGCATTATTAGCTCTGCATTCTCAGCCACCAAGGGCTGAACTGCCACATGGTCTGTCCTTCCAGTTACTGTGCCACAGTTCATGAAAGCAGAGAACACTGCAGTATATCTAGACAGAAAGAGATGAATATTTAGGGTGATTTGTCCACTTAAATCCAGGCATTTAAAAAAAATTTATTCTTGTTGAACTCTTCGGAGTAATATGTGTTGTGTCTTTTATTTATTTTAGAATTCAAATTTTCATTCTATTCTTTTCCCCCCCCCCAGGGTGAAAGAGGTCAAGAAGGAAGAACAGGTGCTCCTGGACCAATGGGAGTTGGTGAACCTGGACAGCCAGTAAGTTGCAAAAATTTAAGTGAAATAAGAGGGACATGTAGTTCCTAGGGATTTGTTTTTCTTAAGGCTTATGTGTTTAGTTGAAAGTCACAGCTACAGAGTGGGTAGAGAACAAGAGAGAGATCTAGTGTGCACGATTTCACTCTCAGAATGGCTATAGTGGCTGGGGCTGGGTCTGGCCAACTTCAAGAAATGGAAACTCCACCCAGTTTAAGGGTACAGGGGCCCAAGGACAGTGGTCGTCTTCCGCTGTGTTCTGAGGTACATTAGCAGGGAGCTGGATCAGAAGTGGAAGAGGCAGGATGTGAATTGGTGCCCATCTAGGAGTAGGAGCTGCAGATGATGGTTATATGTAATACCCCACAGCACCAGCACCTCCTCCCCATTCTCCGTGACTCCTTAAGTTTAGAAAAAATGGTCAGGTTAATCCACCTTATTGTTTTGAATATCAAAAGACACTGAGTATTCAAGGACTTTTTCATACTTTTGAAATAGGACCAGGCCCAGTACAGTAGCCTAGAGGCTATGTCGTCACCTTGCATGCTTAAGATTCCATATGGGCACCAGTTTGTATCCCAGCTGCTCCACTTCCCTACCAGCTCCCTTCTTGTGCTCTGGAAAGCAGTTGAGGATGGCGCAAAGACTTGGGACCCTGCACCTGCCTGGGAGACTGAGAAGAAACTTGTGGCTCCGGGCTTTGGACTGGCTCAGCTCTAGCTGTTGCGGTGACTTGGGGCGATCCAAGGCCTGGAAGAACCTTCTGTCTCTGCTTCTCTCTGTAAATCTGACTTTCCAGTAAAAACAAATAAATCCTTTATGAAAAAAAAAAAAGAAAGAAATAGGACCACCTAGATGGGGGTGCTGCAAAAAGCTCTTGGAAAAATGGAATTAAAGGATAGGTATATTTTAATGCAAAAATTTTGAAATCTGTGATCCTCAAAAGGTTCATAGAAGTACATATTGTAAAAAAAAATTATACATAGATTTCCAAAATGTCTTTTTGCATCCAAATATATTTATCCTTTAATTCCATTTTTTTCTCTTGCGTTTCTTTTTTTTTTTTAAAAAAGATTTATTTATTTTTATCACAAAGTCAGATATACAGAGAGGAGGAGAGACAGTGAGAAAGATCTTCTGTCCGATGATTCACCCAGGTGAGTGCAACGACCGATGCTATGCCGATCCGAAGCCAGGAACTTCTTCTGGGTCTCCCACATGGGTGCAGGATCCCAAAGCTTTGGGCCGTCCTCGACTGCTTTCCCAGGCCACAAGCAGGGAGCTGGATGGGAAGTGGAGCAGCTGGGATTAGAACCGGTGCCCATATGGGATCCCGGGCATTCAAGTCGAGGACTTTAACCGCTGGGCTACGCCACCGGGACCACTCTTGAGTTTCTTGAAGTCCTTTCTTATGTTTCTCTATGTATACTCATATATGTGATTTTTATGACTGGTATCTTTTTTTGTAGTCTTTACAAGATTAATCAGCTTGTCTGAGAAGAAGAGTTCTCATGTGTCAACATATCCTAGCAGATAAGAGATCTGGATTCAGACATAATGGGTTTACTTTGCAGTTGATTTTTTATAACCATAAAAATAATCAATCACTGTGAATGAGGATCTTGTTTGTTATCTGGTCCACGAGTGCCTCTAAGCCTGGATTGATGATGGTAGAAAGAAAAAAAAAATGCTCTTCAGGTTTCAGCCTATGTAGCTTTTCAAGTTCAATGCTTTTTTTAGAGAGAAAATTTTTCTGTCAAATGGCATGTAGAGAAGTAATGAATCAGACATGATGACTGTGGTATAACAACAGTGTTAAATTTTCAAGTTATTGGTTTCCCAGGCTAAAAGGGGTAATTGATTAAAAAAATCTTAAATAGAACTATTCTTCACTTTTGCCTAAAACCTACAGTTAGTGTACGGAGTAAAGGGAAGTTGGGTGTGTCCCACTGAATCTGGAAGAAGACAAGGGTATGTAGTTCCCTCCATGTCATTCGGTATCCTAAAGGAAGCCCGTACAGGAAAAGAGACAAGAAATAAAATGGGAAACACTGAAGTGAAAAAGAACAAAGAAAAATGTCCTTGCTTGCAGATGACAGTCATGGTTATTGTACATGATTGGGAAGTCAAGTGGTGGATAGATTTCGTTCACACAAAATGAAAATAAAAACTTAAGAAAAACGAAGTTGTTTTCAGTAAATGTGTGTTCGCTCAATTTTGTGACTTGGTTTTTTTAAAATATATTGTAGTTGGCATGGAGAGCTGGGCTGGGTGCCAACTCCGTGTTCTACCAATAACCAGTACAGTTGTTGAGACCTTTGGAATTGTTTAGGATTTGTTGGTAATTTTTTTTAAACTTAGGTTGACTATGCAACTTAAAAAAAAATCTGTTCGTTCATAGGGTCATTATAGTGCAAGTGAAAATTTATTTCCTTCATTTATGTTGGTTCAGTCATAATTTATTTTGATTAGATTATAAAATGGTTTTAATTCCATGATGTTTTTAGTTGGAACATTTAAAATTTTTTGAAATTATTTTTAAAAACCTGCCTTTTGCTATTAGGTTTTTGCTATACTATTTTTGATTCTGTATTTTGTTTTTTATTTTCGTTAAGCATTTATAGTATGTTTTTGGTCTTTTATTCCATTATTTGTAAGTTCTAAAATTTGCATCGTGTTGGCTCACTTTTATTAATTGCGAATTATTTCTTGGAAGTTTTGTACTTTGGACTTGGAATTTGTTTTCAGCAGGACTTTCCTGGTCAAAGTCCTAAGTGTCGTGTGTGGATGGTGTTTAAGAGGAGTTTGGCTTGACATCTCATATGTCCTCTCGGGATTTCCTTGGTGTTGATGTCTTGATTAAGATGCTCAGACTAGGTGATGCTAATCAAAACCACAAGCCCATTCACAGCAGAGAACCATGCTAAAAATGTTCAGGATCACTTAGATCCCAAGACAGTGCAGGCAAGAACGTTGTCGTTCATATTGTGCTGATCAGCTGCCTGTTTTCTACTCTGTTTCTTAAATGTGTATAACTGCCAAGTTCCCAGCTTGTTGTTGGAATGCTGGTTCTAATTCTCCCTTCACTTTCCACGGACTACTCCACATTCTCTGCTGTTTTCCCTCCCTTTGGATATCTACATGTCTTCCCAGCACACGAACTGCCTTGGTCTAGCAGGAAACCTGTTTTTGAGCTATGTAATTTGCTTTATTTTGAGGAGATGGGGCTCAGTTATATCTTTACAATTTATTGTGAAGAAAATTTTATTTGGTCTTTCTAATCATTTGAAACTAGAGAATTTTCACAAGATTGTCAGCACATGACATTCTTGTTTGTTTTCTTTCCAAGCTACCAGCAAAATGAAACTATGAAGTTTTATGATTTAATTGGAAGTGAAAATCATAACGAAGTTGGCAAAGATCTCAAATAGTGTGTCAAATATCACAGAATTCCTTAATTTCTCCTTAATTTCTTTCTTCACTGGAGTCATCCAAAGTAATTTCAGGTTTAATGCCAAAGAACTATAGTAGTAGGCGTGTACTGGTGAGTGGAATTCCTAATCTGGCTCTAAGACCTAACTTTGAACTGTCATCTTCCTTCTGGTTTTGACTGATCTGATTGATATAACTGTTTCATGAAAAATAAATTCAGACTCTGCAGGTAATTTATGTGTGTGTGTGTGTGTGTGTGTGTGTGTGCAGTGATCATCAGAGAACTCTAAGTGGAAAAAAAATATTCCTAAAGAACTTGGGGTAACAAGTTAACTTGGGGTAACAAGTGAAATAGATGACACTGATAATAATGGAAAATTTTTGCTGTTTTTACCAGTCTATCTTAGTGGTTACAAAGTCTATTGAAACTACTTTTATTTATTATTAAGAATTTAAATATGGGAAATTATATGTTGTCTAATTGTTAATGTCTCAAATGAGGCTGTTAGACTGTATGAACTGGTAATTATTTTCTTTTTTTTTAATTAGAAATGTTTGTCAGAAGTGAAATAAACATGTCATAGTTATAGATGGTTTAAAGCCTTGGAAAGGACACTGACATTTTTTTTGTGTGTAGAGGTATTTTTGTCTTTTAAAAATTGTCCTTTGGAATTGCCAAATAAATTAAAAGTGTGGTTCATCTAACACAAGTGCCTGTTAATTCTCTTTCCTGGTTCATGGTCTTCCATTATGTTTAACTGGAGGATACACTGTACTGTAGTTCAGTAATTCAGCCTTGAACTACTGACTTGTAAATTCCTCTGAACGTTTATGAAGATTGAGTATTTTTAGCAGCTTTAAATACAGGACTCCTAGAATCTCCAAATTTGTCTCCTCCGCTTGGCTGATGTGTTCTAAAAATTCAGAGGAGGCAGGAAGGTGCCGTGTTTATTTTGTGGAGAGAGCCTGTCTTCACATTGCTTAGATTAAGCCGTTCTCACTGAGATTGCCTTACTTGGAGAAACTGTCTTCAAATGATGCTCTAAGCAATTGTGGGGCTTCAGTAATTTTGACGCTTTTGGCAGGTGTCTGCTGAAGGCTTTGTACAAGAGCACTTTACATCTGACTTAACCCTTACGATGACATTCAAAGTTGACGAAGATGTTGATCTTATAGCCAATTTGAGGCTCCTGAGCTTTGAGAAACTGAATATGTGTTTAATGTCCCACTACTGAGATGTAGCAGTTTAAACTTGGACTTGTGTCTCAATAACACCAAACTCCGCTTTGACTGTCATGCAAGGCTGTGATCTTCATGACACAGGAGCAGATCTGTTTGTAGCTCCTAGAACCAAACACTGTGCCTTCTGCCTATTAAGACATTTGGTACATCACTGATGAATAATGAGAAAAACGAAGTCAGCTTGAAAAAGGCTCCTTTATGTTTGCTGTAAGTTGTGATGTTTTCATTTGTCATCTCATATGGGAAGGAAATTAATTTGTTCCTCTTTTCCTTGTGAGGACGTGTAATGTTGGCCTGGCACTTTTCATTTTAGTTGTGCAATCTGGTTTTCACGCTCCTTTGAATTTTCCTCTAACGAATTGCTCTGCCTTTAGAGTAAGCTGTCGTGGATATTAGCACTTTGATTAAGGTTTTCGAGTGTGAAGAGTGAGATTTCCCATAAGCATTCTAATTTAAATTGAATTAGATGGTAGCTTTTTCCCTCATAATTGAAATCTTTGCTAAAAAGGCTATGTGTAAATACTAAGTGGCTGTTTCTTAGAAAACATTAGAAAAATTCATTAGAAAAATTCAAATTATTAAGCATTCACAGAAAGTTAGTTTTTTATCATATAAATCCATAAGTTTGAGGCGTTCCTGATGAGTATAATACGTAATACGTAGCTCAGTTTGGCTTTTTAGATCACCCTGGATGTCAAGCCAACAGAAACCCAAAGTGTGCTGGTTTAGGCATTTCCAAGAAATATAGTAGATTTTGGTTCTGTCGTAGCTTACTTTCCCAGCAAGCAAACCCAAATTATTTGTTTAGGTTAATTATAGGAAAACATCCAGGGGGTGCTTCTGGATTTTTCACTGCTAGTTCCTTTTCTATCTTTCTGCCTCTGATTAAAAGGAGGAAAAAAAAAAAACAGAGGCAAAATGTGCAACCTTTGGACATTCCTAGTTTGCACGAATACCTGGTTCTGTTGCTTTTTGTTTTTCATTTGGTCTATTTCCTGCCTGTCCTCTGCAAAGCCTGGGACTGTGCTGTTCTTTGTGAGAAGTTTTCTCCTCTTCCAGAGCCTTCCTGAGCAATTCCACGAAACTCTTCATTTTAGTTATTGAGAGAGAAAATCATATTTTCTGTTAATAGCTCTATCAAGAGATCCGATCTGTGTGTCAAACTGCCAGTGGGTTCAACCCATTTTTTAAATGACGGGAATCCAAATTTACCCAGCTAGATGCTAAAACACATGATACTAGCATCCAGTGTTGTGTAGAGCTAGTTAGTCATTCCTTCATAGCGTCCCCCTGATGCTTAATTAAATTATTGATTCATTCTGCATCCTTTTCCAAGCCACCCAAGTGATGGATTTATAGTTTTTCCTCAGAGGATTTATTTCCTCATTCTTATTCTGAAGCCTTCTTAACTGTTCCTTTATTTTCAGGATTCTTGAAGGTCTCATGCTAGCCAAATGGAACAAGTATTTCACACTGTGGGGGATGCTCGGTGTGAAGCCTGCCAGAAAGATTTTCAACAAATGCTTGATTAGGACTAATTCATTGTCATGACCATGAGAACTGAGATATAACCGTTCTCTCCCTTCCTCCCTCCCTTCCGGCCCCTCTTCCCATTCTCTCTTCCCTTGCCTATTTGGCCTGTCCTCCTGTCACACCCAGGGTCCCCGAGGCCCGGAGGGAGCTCCAGGAGAGAGGGGCTCACCCGGAGAAGGAATTCCAGGACCAAAGGTAACCCCGCCTTCTGGAATAGACAAAGTGTTTTGCTCACATGGTGAAGGGTTAAAAATGTTAAAAAAAATATATATATATATATTCTAGCCAGTGATTAAACTCAAGGACTTTCCTGGGGACCCTCACCCTATTAAAATAAGTAATACATAAATTTCTGCTTCACATGAAAGTACAGTGAAATGTGTCACTATAAATAAGTAGTTGATGAAATGCAATTTTATGCAAACCCCATATTAGCATTAGGGAAACCTTCCAGTTTATAATCATTAGGGATACACCCTCTTTATGCCCAAAAGTTAAGTTACTGAGTGTAGCTATGGCAACAGTTGGGTTACAGCTTTCTTTTATGAAAAAGCAAGTTAGAACCTTAGTCTAAAACACCAATTTCTAATATAATAAGAAAGGAAATTTTACCATCAGAAACAATGTGTAAAAGACATACCTTTCACCTGGCAGATGGGAATTTAGATTTTCCGTGCATCCAACCTATGATTCTTGGAACTCCGCCTCCTCTGCTCCAAAGGTTGGCACATCTTCTCTGAAAGGGGCCGGATAGCAACTATTTCAGTCTTTCGTGAGCCATCTAGTACCCTTTGCAACTTCTTAACTGCTGATATGGAAGGAAAGCAGCTGCAGACAATGGACAAATGAATGAGGGTGGATGTTTCAAAAAAACCATGTTTTTCAAAGCTAGGCAGTGGGCTGGCTTTGGCCAGTGAACTGTCATTTGCTGTGCCTAGATCCTGACAGTGTGCTTAAAATCTCTGTGTAAGCCACATGGCAAGTGGTTTTCCAAAACCCAAACAAACCAAAACAAAACAAAACAACAAACAAACAAACAAAACAAACTCTAGGTAGCACCAATAGAAGTCCAGAGCAAGTCAAGGTTGGTTTTAGAGTCTCTTCTTCATTGCTCAAGTCCATCTCCTACGCACACTCCTTGTGCATACAGGCTCTGTGCTGCGGTGAGGTGTTCAAGGATATCCACATTGGGCATTTCATCGGGTCACTGCCATCTGATCTGCCTCCCGTGGCCTCATGCTCTAAACCAACTCATTCACAGCCTCTGCTGATGTGCTCAATGTTTAGTTATCTGTGAGAAAACTACGTTTCAACTTGAGAGATGGCAGTGAGCTGAAACAACTGATTTGTACTAAGTTATGAGTGCCTGCTCTGTTGAATTGCAGAGAGGCCCTTTTTAAGGAACACAGTTTAGTTTGTCCTAACAATGAAATGACCTATTGGTTTGAGGGATGTTGCTGGTGTGCCTGTTGTCCATCATCACAACATCACTACCAGGAGACAGAGGTCCACAGTGTGGCAGGACATTTCAGTTTAAATTGTTTTTGCTGTATGGTGTCTTCCTGTTTGTGTGTAGTCCAAAGAATCTGGAGAAACCAAGTAGGATCATTTCTCTTCATAATCTGAAGGATATTTTTTTAAAGATTAAGCAATGAAACATAATTATATGAAACACCATGTAACAACTTGGAATATAATGACCCATGGGTACCATATTGACTTCTTTCTTCCCAAAGAAGGAACATTTTATATTTAGTGCTGCCTGAGGGTCAGTTATAGGTGGTCATGATCGATCAAAAGAACCTATTAGGTTGCTTCATTTCTGATCAGCCAAATCAATGGCGTTTAAAGACATCTGTGTAACTGTGGCTAATTTGCAATAATGTAGCCAATTTGCAATGGTGTGGGGAACAAATTATGAGTATAGAGAGACAGTTATATTTTCCTGGGATTCTTGCAAGTACCATTTGATTTACTTTTGATTCTAAAATTCATGAAATGGGTGTCAGTTCTGACCAATTACATGTTTTAGTTTTCAAAGACAACGGTGTTCACTTTCGCTGGTGTTACATTAAGGCTACAACCATTCACCTAGCTCATGTCATTCTAGAAGCACACCTAAAAATTTTTCTTTGAATTCTTTAACCCTAGTTTTGAATGAACTTTTATAAATTTAGGAACAGAACACTTAGTGAATTACCTACTACTTACAAATGTTAGATCATATATTACTATGATGTTTCCTGTGTGATGCGTTGCATTTATGTACATAATAATATGCATTCTATGTTATTATATCTCCACATAATATGGAATTATTTTCCAATAATACGGAAAAGAGGCTTTATCCAGTTAGCTATACTCTATGATTGGTGAGGTTCCACCATTTCCAGAAATTTCTGTTGAGATCAGAAATTGAGCTTTATATCTTCCATGATGCTACATATGTGTTTGCTTGAACTGCCCGCTTCCCAGATAAGGAGTAGGACTAATTGTTTTGTTTTTTTTTTTTTTCAAATTCCACTATTAGAATCAGTTAGAATTACCCACTTGTAGTAAATAGCAAATCTAGATGTTGAATTTATAAAGTCGTTTACAGCATACTTCACATTAAGCATAAGGCAAACAGATTTAAAATCTGGATGATGGTTGTAATAATGTCTCTCCTATGTTTCATTTTCAGGGCGAAAAAGGTTCTGAAGGACCAGCTGGCCCACAGGGAGTACAAGGCCTGTCAATCAAAGGCGACAAGGTACCACACGTAGGATGCACAGTAGGAAAAATGTCAATACAAACTTTCTGTATCTGTGAACATTTTTGAACTACATACAGTGCAACAATATCACAAAAGTATCCAACTAACTACACATCTTGTTTATTTATGCAAAACACATTATGTAGCACAAACTATGATAAGGCAAATATCATTATTTAATGTTTCACTTATTATTTTGGTTTCAGTTCCACTGACTTGCACCATCAACAAAACAACTTTGAAAGCAAATGACATGCACTCCTAGTTTTAAAAATAGTTCCAAAAAGTTGTTGACCTGGGCTCAGTGTGGTAGCCTAATGACTAAAATCCTTGGCTTGCATGTGCCAATATCCCATATGGGCGACAGTTTGTATCCCAGCTGCTCCAGTTGCCTTCCAGTTTGTGGTCTGGGAAAGCAGTTAAGGACAGCCCAAAGCCTTGGGACCCGGCACCCCCAAGTGGGAGACCTGGAAGAAGCTCCTGGATCCTGGCTTCAAATAAGCTCAGCTCTGACCATTGCAGCCACTTGGGGAGTGAATCAGCAGATGGAAAATCTTTCTGTTTGTCTCTCCTCCTCTCTGTATATCTGACTTTCCGATAAAAATAAATAAATCTTTATAAAAAGACTTGTAGACCTGACCCCATTAGGAGTGCATGTCCATATACTCAAGGATGACTTAAAAATGAGATCAAAATGGCCCAGCATGGTGGCAGAGCAGGCTAAGTCATTGAGCGCAGCACTGGCATCCCACATGGATACCTGTTAGAGTCCCAGATGCTCTGCTTTTGACCTGGGAAAGCAACAGAGGATGGCTCAAGCCCGTGGACCTCTTGCAGAAGACCTGGAAAAGCCTCCTGGCGCTTGGTTTTGGACAGATCCAGCTCTGGCCACTCTGGGCATGTGGGGAGTGAACAAGCAGATGGAGGATTTCTCTCCTCCCTCTCTCAATCTGACTTTCAAGTAAACCAAATATTTTTATTAAACATTAGGGTTGAAATAGAGGCACTCATTTAAGAAAACTAGTGCTGATGCCTCCAACATCCACATGAAGACACCTGCGGTTGATGAAAGTTTGTTGGCTTATTTCAGAGGAGACACACTTACTATGGGGAACCAATGGAATTCAGAGAATGAGACATGAGGGTTTTTTTGTAGAGTTTGAGCCAGTGGCCACTTATTTTAGAAACATTCAAGATGACTCTGGTTTGGATGTTATCAGAAAGCAAAGGTAATCTTGAAAGTTGTAGGGAGTGTCACATCGAAGTCGGGGAATTTTTTCCCTATGTTAGCTGGTCAAGGAGGCAGGTTGGCCATTCTGAGGGACCCGGGTGGTGTTTGTTGCTTCTCTGTGTCAGGCATGATTTGCATGAGGTTTCCTTTGGCCTTGGCCCGGCTCCATGGTAGTGCAGCCTTATTGGTGCTGCTGATCTATAAGACTGTAAATGCTCAGCACCACTGCCCTTATCCTGCCCACCAGCCATCGCCTTGCTGATCTCCTGCTAATTGCTTGTTTTCTTTACAATAGCTGCCTAGGATAGCCAGAGCAGCAGTGGAAGTGAGGTTTATGATCATAGAAGCCACTGGGGGTTAAGAAAGAAGGACCAAAAGAGCAGAGGGAAGTACGGGCGGTCAGGGTGGGCCTGGGGAGGTGGTTTAAGACATGCACAGAGCCGAAGATCTCTCGTCACTGTGGAGCCATTTATACATCAGCTTCTGAGCATGTCATTATATGAGATGCATTCTTTTTGAATGATTGATATTCATAGCTCTCTCATGTGTTAGTTTCATTCTATAATGACTTTACTGGTGGTTGTTGCTCTTTGATATCGGTTTAAGTAGTAAAAATAGTGAGAGTGAGTTAAATACATTTTTTGATGCCATGTCATTTGTTCTTTCAAGTAGTTCAGCTCTTTTTCTAACTGCAGCTCCAAAATACTCCAAAAATATATGCAAGATGCTCTTTCTTCCTTTAGAGCAGCGAGAACTGAATACAACAGAGCCACTGTTCTAGCAGTTCAGTAAATTAACTTTTTCCAGGGTGCTGTGACATGGTATTTGTGTTTTTCCATCTGGAGCTCATGCAAAGAAAACACTTGGAAGCATCAGGACAGGATCACATAGCAAAGCTTTTATCTGCTGTTGCCTTACGAAGTCCAACCCACTCCTCGTCCTGCTTTCTTCCTTTCCTTTTGATGTTGAGCATTGGATTTGGAGACTGTGGTGTCTGTGACTCCATGATAAGCTCCGTATCATCCCTATAATGAGGCATATTGTACACACATATAACAAAGCAGCACTTATGTAAATCACACCTTACAGAAGGCGGGTCTCTCTTTTGTGTGACTAAGCATTTGTAGAACAGTAGCTATGCTTGGGTTTGTGGAGTCAGAGTGGAGTTGTATGTACTAACAGTTGTGTGTTCCAGGGTGAGAATGGAAAAATGGGGGTGCCCCATTCAGGGGACATATCCACTAGATAGGAGAGTGCCAGGCTGGGGACATCAATTTGGGAACCCTTGGTATAAAGTCATGGTGGGGTGGCTTTACAAGTAGATGAATAAAGGAGAAGCTTTGATGACTGAGTCTTTCATGTACTGCAACCACTAGAAGAAATAGATAAAGATGCGGCAATAGCAATGGGAAGGAGCAGCCAAGGAGCAGGTGAAGGGAGGTTCAGCAAGGTGAGGGACCGATCTATCAAATGCCATCGACAGGTCGATTCTCAGTGGACCACTGAGAGCTAGGCCTGCAGCAGTACGCTTCTTCCAGTGGCGAGCGTACTTAGACTGTGATGGGATTGGCAAACTTTTGCTGCAACACTTGAGTAGTAAACATTTTTGGTTTGAGATCCTTGAGACACTTCTATGGAGTTACTTTTATTATGGAGGAACTGGTAGTGCGAAAGCAGCCTCTCAAAATACATAAATGAACAGGTGCACCTGGATTTCAAAGACGTTTTACCTGTAGAAACAGGCAGGCAGCCAGATCCTTAGTTTGCCAGTGTTTGGGCTAAAAATAACGTATTTTGATGAACAAAAATGCATCCTTCGATTTTACTTCCTGTATTATAAAAGTGTATCAGAGCCACGTAAGACACGCTCTAGAAGGTTGTTTTTAGTGTTTCACTTGGCAGCAGTTCTTGATGGAAATAAATGGAAGGAATATTTGATAGGATCCAGTTCTGATTCAGAGCTGGAGTCCTGTCACATAGAACTTGGCTAGTTTATCACTTAGTGGTTTGGGGGGGGCTTTTATTTTAAAGACTTTCAAATAAATAAATATTTAAAAACAGCAATAAACCACCTTTACAAAAAAGAAGCCAACCACAATCCTAACTCTTGCTGTGTTACACGTATTCGAGAGCCCTTGGTCATAAGGAACATGTCAGGCCACTTCTTTGAACTATTTGTTTTGCCTGCAATGCTTTTCCTCTAGATTATTTTTTTAAAGGATTTGCATATTTTTATTTGAAAGGCAGCTTTTATGGAAAGAGAAGGAAAGATGAGGAGACAAGGTCTTCCATTCACTAGTTCACTCCCCAAGTAGCCATAATGACCAGAACTGAGCTGATTGGAAGCCAGGATCCAGGAGCCTCTTCTGGGTTTCCCAGGTGGGTACAGGGTACCAAGCACTTGGGCCATCCTCTGCTGCTTTCTCAGGCTATAAGCAGAGATCTGGTGTAGAAGTGGGGCACCTGGGACACAAACTGGCACCCATTTGGGATACCAGCACCACAGGGTGGAGGATTAGCATGCTGCACCAACCCAGTGGTCTGATTCTTTCAGTTTATAGCTGGGATCCTTTATTCTCACCCATGAAGCACTTTGGGCCACTTTGGAGTTGCCATTGCCTGTCTAATGTGCTTCCCTTAGCATGCAACGTTATTCAGCATACTATGTATGTCTTCTGTCTTACATTTCTCCTCCTAAACCTACCCCTCCTTCCTATTTCTCCTCCTAAAATGTAAAGTCTACTGAGACAGATTTGGGGCTGTTTGGACCACTGTTGTTCTTCAGCGTTTGGAATGGTTTCTGCATGTAATGGACACTTAGCAGTATTTGTAGAAGGACACAATGAATGACGGCATTGTTCTTGCTGGTAATTCTCTCTTTGTCTTACCAATTTGTTTCATGAAAGGAAAAACAGTGAAGTTCTTTAATATTGCTTTATTAACCTTTGATTATTTCTTAAATTTAAAAATGTATTTTAAGGAAATTAGGAGATTTAAAAATAGTTTATGTTGCAAACTTCAGTTTTCCTATTTCTAGTAAAATTTATACTTTTAAATATTTTATTATGATTCTAACAGGAAATGCTTATGTCACAATGTAGGGAAAACGAATTTTGAACAAAATGATTGATAACTCTAAGCTGATGCAGATCAGCAGTACGGACAAAACAGCAAATACGTTACTTATTGTTCTGGCAAATTGTTAGTGTGAACTCTTAAGATGAAGTTTTATAATTTTTCCATTTGAATGTAATACCTGGTTAGTAAAGTGTGAAGGAATGAGGTTTTGTTTTATTGTCCGATCTCTGACTTTGCACACAGGGAGACATGGGCACTGTGGGAGCACCAGGGCCGATGGGCATCCCCGGACTTGGAAGTCAAGGGGAACAGGTAATTCATGCTCCCTTCCTTTATCTTGAGTACAGAACCCTGGAGTGTAATCCTGCAGATATCTTTGGCTGTGAAGTTGAATCGAAGCACAGCAGTGAACGCAGGCCACGGTAACATGGTTTTAGGATGAAAGCTCATTTTTTTTAGACCTCTCAAAAGCTCAAAAAACAGATGGTGTATTTCTGGATCTTTGAATTTTAATATAAAGCCTAGTAACAGGATAAGGGTTTGGAAATAATGGTTCTTCTTTTGAGTTCCCTTTAGAGTGGTCAATTCACCTGTTGGTTTGTAGGAGGTTCTTTTCCCCCTTGAAAGTCTGTAACTACATTCCTCTCTGTCATGCTGGGGAAGTAATGTGTCCCTCACTGCTGGCCACGCACCAGCCAAAAAGGTATTTACATTCAAGGGCCAGCACTGGCGGTAACTTCTTTTAAAGGGCCTTCTGCCAAGTAGAAACCAACCACAGAAGAAAGAGATCTCTGAGGATGCCTTCATGTTTGTGGTTGGAACTCAGCACAAATTCTGATCATTTCTGAAGTAGTTGGCTAATTGTGTTAGATAAAATGGAGATACTAAAGCAATACCATATGTTGTTGTTTGTGATTGTTTCCCTACAAAGTGTTATTTAACGTAGTGACCAGCACGTTCAGATTTATGTTAAATATCTTCATCCAAAAATAGCAAGGCAGTTTGATTAAAATATAAAATTAAGATCTGAATTGTCTTTTGCCTAGAGAATGGCTAATTCTTCCTTCATCTAAGGTAATAGAAAAAGAATTTTAAAAAGGAGATAATTACATATCGTATGATTGACATCTAATTTTGACTTTATTCTAACCTTTCTGCTAATTCATTAGGAGCTATATGCTGATTTCCCTGGCCTGGGCAACAGAAAAGTTGGCTGCCCCTGGCAGAGCTGCTAGTATGCTACGTTAGGAGGATCTCAATGTGGAAGAAGCCAAGAGAAACCAGTAAATAAATATTTAGCTAAAAATCAAGGGCTGGATATTTTAACTACTCAAGGGTCATGGGTTGACTCTACTACCAAGCATTATCAAGCTTTGTGGTTGATCTGCTTGTTTTAGCAGAGCTCCTGTTCTGATCCCAGAAGCAGGTGGATAGGGTTTAGCAGGCTGGGTCTTGTGTCCCTGGTGTTGAGAAAAGAAAGTGATATGTCCAGATGGCCTGTGTATTCTGGACCTCCCTGCCATGGTTTCCTGTGGCCTTTAATGTTGGTCCTCAATAGAGGTGACTTTTCTTTAGGTTACAAAAAAACATCACTTTGATTTCTTTAATTTTCTCATCTTTTTTTCTTTTAATCTTTTGAGAGGAAGAATTTTGAGGTAGATGCATCCTTATGGAAGTGATGACTGTTGGTTAGAAGGATGTGAAAGAAAACTGCTCTGAACAACAAGATGATTGTGTAAGATTTTCAGGCAAATGATAGAAATTCCACCTGTTTGCGCAATTCAGTTTTCTTCTCACTGGTAATCTAATGTGTTCTCTGCATCATTGATCTTCCCTTGTCTCTAGTAGAAATGCTATTTCCCACCCCTCTGTTTGTAAGAGAAAATTTTTGGGGGCGGGGTGGTTGTGACAGCGTGTTTAAAATAGCTCCCAAATAGCCTGCAAATTTTCCTTAAGTATATGGGGTTCTGACCACTTCAGTTGTTTTACAAAATGACATGAACTATAAATAAGCCCACATGTTCACGTGCATGAACATGCCTCTCAGACATCAGTGGATCTCCCCTTTGCATGATAGTACAGGCTAGCTCCATCTTGTGCCTGGAATACATCTGACCAATGGGGATTCTCCTGTGCTTCTGCCCTGGCAAGTCCTGAATGCAGAGGCTGACCCCTCTTCCGGCTGCCCCAGGCCATGTTGCCTTCTCAGATCCAGTCAAGCTCTGGGTCCTCGTGTCCTGAAAGTAGAAGTCAGTCTCTGATGGTTTCCTAGACCACCTTTCTAGACTAGGATAAGGAGAGAAGCAGCACAAACACCATTCATTTCCTATGAGGAAACTATAATCTAGGCCACTTTCCCCAAAGAAAACCCCACCTCCTGCCTTGATTCTTGGTCTTCAGTGTGAGGGACAGAATCCAGCAGTTTGCTGCTCAATGCCTAGGACAAACCTTACCTCGATCAATAATGGAGTATGGACTAAACTTCCACTTTAGAGAATAGAAAAAGTACTGTTATCCAAATATTAATTATACTAATCCTATTTATTTTTTATTTCAAAGGGAATCCAAGGCCCTATTGGGCCTCCAGGCCCCCAGGGGCCTCCAGGACAAGGCTTCCCTGGCCCCAAGGTAATTTCTACATGAAAACAGACTTCAGGATATCTCTGATGCAGATGCTTTCTGGTCAGTGATGGTGTATTTGGGAAAGAGTAAACAGGATTGATTTTAAATTAAGACATTTCTATTTAATGCAAGTGTTGCTGCTATTACTTAACAGTTTGGGAAATGCAGTATATATTCTTCATGCCTTACAAAGTCATCCACAATCTTCATTTACTGTTTGCTGTGTTGCAAGGCCTTGTCTGGCTGCTCAGGAGATAGTAGCAGTTGAGGCTCCCTAGGGGAGAAGTGTCTCTGGTTGGCCAGTTCTCATTCCACCTAGCAGTCTCACAGAAAGTCCAGCTACTAGAGACTTAAAGGGGTGGAGTCACAAAAGATCTGATTATAACTTTTTTTTCTTAATGAACTTGGCAGTCAGATGATCTCCTAAATTGGAACTACTCCTAGTTACTTAAGGAGAGGGGCATGGTTCTTAGGGTTTTGCTGGTTATTGTTTCAAAGTATTATAACATTTTGAAAACTATTTAAAAAATTTTTTTTGAAGAGAGAAAGGGAGAGAAAAATATTTTTTGCCCATCTGCTGGCTCACTCCCAAAGCATCTACAAGAGGCAGAGGGCAGAGCTTAGCCAGACTGAAGACAGGATCAAGTTTTCTGTCTTGTTCTCCCACATGGATGACAGGGGACCAAGCGTTTGGACCATACCTTGCCTTCCCAGGACAGTGGATAGAAAATGAAGCAGCTGGGAGTTGAATTCAGTTGGCAATACGAGATGTCACTCCAGTAAGCTGCTTTATCTTACATTTGTTGGTGGAAGATGCACTTAGGGGATTGAAGGCAGGAATATGTAATTTTTACCTGGTATTACACTCACATACCTGTTTCTTACCAGGGAGAAGTAGGCCAGGTAGGACCTACTGGCCCTAGAGGGCCAATGGGAATTGGAGTGCAAGGTCCAAAGGTGAGTGGGCTCTGTGGCTTGTGGGCATGTAAATAATTCATGTGATCTGAGGTTTCCTTTCTAGTGAGATGCAGTTGCGGGCGGTGTGTGTGTGTGTGTGTGTGTGCGTGTGTGCGTGTGTGCGTGTGTGTGTGTGTGTTCTAACTACATCGCCTCTTTGTCTTAACTTTCTAATCATGGCTGCTCGTGTGCCTGCTGGAAAAGCTGCACTTAGATGCATAGCTTACTAGGTATTTCTGCTGGGGTAGTGCTGCTCTAACAAATAGGTTCCCTTGGGGTAGGCTTCTGTTCATCTAGTCCATTTGGGGGACATGATAGGTTCTCAAGAGCTACTGTCCAAGAAATGGATGGATCTTTAGTTAATCCTTCATAATTTCCATGATTCATCCTGAGAGTGTGTGAGGGCTGGTGAATCATATTTCAAATTTATTTTTTTCTTCCTTTTGTCACATCCTTCAACTTACTTGTAGGTTTACTGTGCTTTTTTATTTTTCCACTAGCTTTTTTTTAGGTTAGTTGTGATGACTTTCAAGTAATTAAATCCCTTTTGCTCTTACAAATTCAGTAAGATCACTTTTATACTGCTTAAAAGTGGCATGTGTTTTTAAAAAGCATTCTAAATGGCTGGGTCATAAATTAACGTGAAAGCATACAGAATTGTTGAATGTCAGAGCTGGAAGTAGTATCAGAGCCCAGATTTAAAATTTTACCTCTGTATTTCTTTGCTGGGGCTGATATAACAAAGCACCGCACATAACAGCTGCAAAAAAAAAAAAATCAGAAAATTATTGTCTTCTTGTCGTAGAGGTGAGAAGTTGGAAATCAAAGTGTCTGTGGTGCCATGATCTCCCCAGATATGCTCTTCCTCTCTTCTTCAAACCTTGGCTTCCTTAGCTTGCAGTTGTGTCTCTGCCTCTCTGAGCACGTGCTGTGCTCATGTTCTTATCCTTAGCAGGACATCAGTTATCCTAAGGTAGGGCACAGCCTGGTGAGTCATGGTAACTTGATTATGTCTCTTGGGCCCCATTTCCAACAGAGGTCCAGAGATATTTGGCAACTTGCTCAAAATCAAATAATTGAGTTGTCATTAATTATGAACCAGATGTCTCATCTCAAAGGCTTTTTTAGAAGACACTGTAAATACAGGTGCATTGCAGATACAAGCTTCTGGAAAGTAAAATCTCTGTTTATCCACTAGGGGGAGCCAGGCTCGATAGGGCTCCCGGGAGAGCCTGGAGTACCGGGAGAAGACGGAGCTTCCGGGAGGAAGGTAATGCCAGGTAGCCCTTATTTCTAAAAACTGCGGAGTCAGATTGAGATCTTAGTCCTGCAGGATCTCAGATTAAACCATTCAGGACAAACAGCGTCTGTTTAAGAAAAAATAAACCGCACAGTTGTGCGTTTTCCCTTTTTCTTGCCATAGAAAGAGTACCAAGTCCAAACCTATAAAGTTGCCACAGCCTCTTCTGTCTGGCTGGCTTTCTGGCCATGGCATTCTGAAGCAACCCAGTTCTCTCAGGCTTTCTAGAAAGTGCATTAATTTAAACTTAAAAAAAAAAAAACTTTCTTTTTTGCACCTCCAAAAGTAGAGTCTGAAAATGTGTCCAGTTAGAAAGGCCATTGTAAAGATTTCCTGAATTATTTTGAGTTGGCATTTGAAATGCTGCTTTTTCAATAAAAGTAGTGAAAAACAGCAGATGGAGAGCTGAAGGTCCTTCTTGTTTTTAAAAAATCCACCCAATGTAGACGAAGAGCCAAAAGAAAGTGTGCTTATTGCTTTGGAAATTGGCTAAGAAACTGTACTTTTTCATAATATTTCATCCACTCTGGTTAAACTGGAGTTTAATGTTAATTCATTTGAGTTGGCAAACCTCTAGATTTGAGGCTATGGTGAAGTTCTGGTCTGTTTGGGAGGAACTCGACTGGTAGGCAGAAGGAACAGGTGGAGCTGGGGTGGGGGTAGGTCATCTTAGATGTCAGTGTCATTTCAGGGAGAAGCAGGGCTTCCAGGAGCCAGAGGCCCCGAGGGACCACCTGGAAGAGGACAGCCTGGCTCCAAGGTATGTAAATGACAGAGTGAAATACACTTTGGGAAGTGAATCACCAACACTGTGAGAGTGAATGGGAACCTTGACACAGCGAGCTAGGCTTGGGAGAAACTGAAGAAAGATCATTCAATACAGCATAAGCCAACTAGGACCGTTAGGTAAGCCAAGGGGAAGGTAGAAGGCTTCAAGATGGAAGCGTTGGTGGAATGCAATGCGACCCAGAGAAGAAGGAGAACATGCAGTGGACAAGAGAGGTTTTTAGAGTTGTGGCATTGCAATAGTTCATGACTTCCACGAAGCTCTTAGAAAGAGGGCTAGGAAGAGGCTGCTTGTCCCAGGCAGGACATGACTCAGCAGCTATGCACTGTTACAGGTAACGGGCTGCTGTTGTCATCCAGGATGTTGTAGATCTATAAGTTAATTTGGTAGGTTTTATTTACTGTAAAATGATAATGATATAGTAACTAATGTTTGGACATTCAGCTGTATTATTATTATTACCTATGTCACTGCTCAATTTTCATGGGCCATAGGGAGTGAATTCTAGCCCTGTACATTCTACCAGGGTCACATCATAAGGTGTAGCAACAACAGCAGCGGTATCACCTGCATATGTTAAAATCCCAACTCTTGGGCCCCAGTGCAGACCTCCTAGGTGTCTGGGGTGTGGGCCCAGCTGTTGTAGGGGCGCTCTCACATGCTCTGCTGGTGACCCCACTGCTCAAGTCTCAAAGCAAGGGGATTGGTGATTATTATCCAACTCTGGGAATGGCCTCAGTCAGCTGCCTGACCCGCAGAGCTCTGGCTCTGGGGAACACAGCACATGCCCAGAGGGAGGGATGTGGGGAGTGGAGTGCTAAAGCAGCTCCTGGGATTTTGGGAGGGGCTGCAGGAAGATGGCGGCTGGCCCAGGGCCAGGAGGCGGAGCTGGTCTCGCCAGCAGGTAAACTGGAAGTCACAGGGATAAGCTAATGTGCCCGCTGGGATTGCTGGCCTATCACGTAGCACCAAGTAGGCCCACGGGGAGAAGTGATTGGTGGAGAACTATATAAAAGTAGCCAGTAAAAGCTAGGGTCTGAGGAAGGACAGACCGAACAATGGGGGACAGACAGACAGACAGATAGATGAAGACGGATGAGAAAGATTGGGGGCGGGCGGAAAGAAGGGTGGCAGAAAGGAGATGGGCAAAGTACGGGAAGAAGAACGGGAGGAAGGGTGACAGAAAGCTGACCAAAGAAGCAGGAAGGAAAGCTAAGGCCAATGGGGACAGGAGCAGCGGAGAGGATTTAAACGCAGCTGCTTTTGGCAGTGAGGGGTCTGGTTCCGGCTTTTCCCGGACCCTCGAGAGCGTGCCTTGTTGTTTTAGTGTCCCCGCTCTTGGGCAGCGGCGGCAGAGGGCCTTACAGGAAGTTTCACAGTGCTGGCAGAATCCCAGCTAAAGGCAGCACAGTTCTTTTGGGGAGCCTTGCCATGCATCCGTACCACTCAGGGGAATGACCAGTGGCAGCTTTCCGCTCTGCCTGAACACCCTCCTTCCGATATCGTCATGGACCTCCTTTGATGGCAAAGAACCGAGGCTGTGCTTTGGCAAATGCCTCATTTTATGTTTCAAAACTGAAAGAGCACAAAACCTCAAAACAGCATGAAAACTCAGGACTGGTTCTCTCTTCTGAAACTGTAAATATCTCACCACCACCTGTTAATAGTCCAGGAGTGCAAAAGAAGCACAAATCCAGACAGAATTCCCAAAGAGCAACAGTAATACTTAGTCTTTCAAAAAACAATGATTCATACTAAACTCATGATCAGAACTACCAGTGCTAAAGTCATCCACTGTACTGGGGAACACTGACCGGTCTGGCCCAAGGGGGCTGGGCCGGGGCATGAGCGGATGTGCGAGGAGAACCTGGCCCTGAGGCCAACCATTGCCAGGCCGCGAGGCGCTCTTCCTGTAACCTCTGTCTTTTTGTAATGAATTTGTCAGGGTGATGAAGGGAAGAAGGGGAGCAAAGGAAACCCAGGACAAAGGGGATTTCCGGGGCCGGAAGGGCCTAAGGTATGTTTCTTACTTTCTTGTTGATGCTTTGGGGATATGGTCATTGGGTCTGGTTTCAATTGATTTCCATTGCAAGTTTGATTTCGTGTTTCCTTCTCAGCAAATACAAAACACCTGCCTCCCAAATCAAGTCTAAACGGAACAATTCCCGGAGTGCAATAGGATGGAATAAAAAAGTCATATAAGCGATGTCATCTTCGTAGAAATACTTACACTTCTAAGAGAGGATCCATTGCCAGGGTCCTCCAGAAACAGCCACTCAGAAGCTGCACTGCAGTTAGGGCCACAGGGGAGCTTGGTTCTTCATCACCTGGGTTTGCTGGACAGCAGCCCTGTTCGGCTCAGACTGGGAGGCAGCTCAGTGGGGGGTTCCTGACTTCCTGGGCAAGAACAGTGAGGCCCTTTGAATATGTCAGGAAAGCAAAACTGCCAAGTGGAAGATGCTAATGGTAAGAAAGACACAAGGGGTATGTTTAAAGCCTGGATGATTAAGCATCACATTTTTAAACAGGTGGAAGTGGCAAGAGAGGAGTAGGAACAACAACAAAAGGCTTCTGCCTTCAGGTGAGCCTGGCTCACCTGTGAGCTTGTTGCAGCTCCGGATGTGGCCACACCATCCATAGACATCTGTACTCCATGGGCGATGAGTCCCTGGCATCGACGTTTCTCTGCTCAGTGTCCTGCGCTGCAGGTAGTTTGGGAAGCACGTTGTGAAGAGTGCCACTGCATCTGAAAGCTTGGCGCTCTTATTCACGGTGCTTGCTTGTGATGTCTTAGCCACTCGCAACATACTTTATCACTGGGTCATTGTAAACAAGACAATCACGTGCTTTCTAAAAGTGGCCTCTTAAAAATGCACAACAAATTTAGTCTAGAAGTCCAATTGCATGTTACTCCCGGTTTAGGTGAAGAGTTGCAGTCAGTAACTGGTTCCTGTATCTTTGGAGGGGGCATTTATCTGTTGCCGGGTCTTGACTGTCATGTGCTCTAGCCTTCCACATATACATTTTAGGATTGGCCCAAACGTGCCCTGGCATGAATGGGGCTGCCATGGGCTGTGTGCTCAGCTTGTTTGCAATGGGTAATCAGTGTGGTAGGAGGCCTCAGCTGGGGAGATGAACACGGCTCCTGCTGGGAAATCTGATTGTGGAGTGGCTTCCGGAGGAAGAGGCTGGCAGGCATTTTCAGAGGACAGGAGCCAGCCAGAGGTAAAATTAGTCACAATCTGAGAACCAAGAGCGTTGGGTTAAAACGCAGCATGAAAATATTCATTCCACCTAAGATAGGTGTTCACAGCTGATTTCTCCCCCAACTGTTTGTTTATTTAAAAGGTAAAAAGAGAGAGCTTACATTTACTTCTTCATTTCTCCAATTCCACATGAGCCAGGGCTCCGCTGGCCAAGTCCAGGAACCCGGAACTCCATTTGTACCTGGCCTGTGATGGCAGCGGCCGGAGCACTCGGCCCATCACTCGTCACCCCCCAGGATGTGCACCAACAGGAAACTGGGGTAGCTAACTGAGGCACTTGGACATGGGCCCCAGGTGTCCCAGCAGCTTCATAATCATTGCCGACTGCCAACAACTTCTTTTTGATAAAGGGCTAGATAAATATTTTAGCTACCTGGGTGCAGATGCAAAATCAAGGAATTACAACTAGGTAAGGATATGAACAAACAGTGCCAATGTTAGGATTCACCAGCCGGGACAGACTGGTTGTGAGCCAAGGATAAAGTTCACTTCAACCTACTCTAGGGCAGGGGCTTCCAAGCTGCTTTGATTAGAAACCCCTGGCAGTAAAATTTTGATTGGAGCCCAATACAGACTTGTCTTTTATTTGTAATCTTTATTTATAAACCGTCATGCTAACCTGTATCATGCTAATATATACATGTTATGAAATTTACATAAATATGTGAAATTTTAAAAGAACAGGCGAAAATAGAGAAGTCCTGGTATTTTCTCCTTACACTCCAGCGAGTCATTTTGAGCCTGGGTGGTGTGTGGGGATAGCTGTGTGTGCTGGTAGTGACTGTGAGTCTCTGGGTTGCTTATGAAGTTCATGTTTCTGGGGCTCAGCTCTAGGTCTTAGTGAACTAGGACCTCTAAGGCTTGAAGCACAGGCCGCTGCATTTGCCAAGCTGTTGCTATGATTCTTCTCCCACATGTGAGGCTCTGTGGTCTACATTCACGTGGGATAGAGGCACTGCCCGTTGCTCCACATCACGTCTTTGAGACTTAGTAATAGTACAAAAAATTTAAAAAGAATTTTCCACTTGAAATATATGTGTTAACCAAAACATGAAATAACCTGCAATGGGAAACTCATATATCTTGAACCAACAAAAGACATAAAGGGTAACATTTTACAGTGTACCCAAAACTTAAGCTGAAAATAGTGTTATCATTAGACAAAAAAAAAAATCTCTCCGAGTTCCTGCCATACAATGCCCATGGGAAACACTATGAATGACCTAATTTTTACTGATGAATAAGAGGATACACAGGAGATAGCATTTCCTGAAATTGTGAATTAATTGAATGTGTTTATTTAAAGGCATTGAAGCCTTGCTGATGGACCAACCTCAGTAGCAGTTAACGGAGTGCTGAAGTGGTTCTCATGCTGGTCTTGGAAACAGAATTCACAGTATCATCTGGAGAGCTGCATTCATGTCTGTGCTTTGGTGGATCTAGTCTTCATATATTCCTCTGCGTAAGGTGTATCTGGTGTTTCTTTCCTTCTTCAGGGTGAGCCAGGGATCATGGGTCCTTTTGGAATGCCAGGAGCATCTGTTCCTGGGTCACCTGGGCCAAAGGTAGGCTTTCCTGGAAATCGTTGTTTTATTTGGGCCTTTGGTGGTTGCAGGAATATGTGTGTAGAGATATAGATCAGGATCTGGCTGAACTAGAATTTTAGTTTTGGAAGTGCCCCCAAAATTGATCCCACTCACCTCCGATATTTCACAAATAAGGGAACTAAAGGCCAGAGACAGAGAGCAATGGCTGGAACCCACATCCCCTCTCCCGGTTCCAAGCTAGTCACCACACCCTGCCTTACCTCTCACAGACGACAGAGCTCAGCGCAGGTGAGAAATCATTGCATCTATTAACAAGAATCTACTAAGAATTAGAATGAAACAAACAAAAATGGTTGAAAAGAACCCTTCTCAATTTTAAGAGCATCAGCAAGCAGACTTGGTCTAAGTATTTGAGTCTAAATTGCCGCATACCATCTTAGTGTGCCTTCTCTAAACAGTTATAGTTGTAACTGACAGGTTGCATTCCCTGCAGATTAGAAATTCCTCTAGTACAGGGCAGAGAGATAGGCTGTGTTGAGGCCTTAGTCGCATGGATTCAGCACATTACAGGTGACCTAACCTCTTTGGGGCTACCCCTTCCCCGTATCCTTGGGTTTTCTCATGCAACCTACAAGCTGTGTCTCTTCTTTGAAATGTGCAGGGAGACAGAGGAGGACCGGGGCTTCCAGGGCCCAAAGGGGAACCTGGCCTTTCTGTTCGAGGATCCAAGGTAGGCTTATTCCTCTTCCTTTCCTTTCCCTGCTTATGCACTTAATATAGAAGAAGTCGATGGTTCTATTTGCAGAATCTTTTTGCTGAAGAATTAAAATGCAATAATGGACTACCCCACTTTTTATTTTTAAGAAGCCAGGCAATCAGATAGCTTATTTTTCATACATGGGGGCATAATAGCTGCCATGGTTAAATTTTCATTCCCTTGACAGTTATTAGTGCTTTTTCTGCTGTAAGTGTGATACAAAAGTTAAATGGCCTCTGGCCTCTTTCAGTTAGTATCCTTGGCTAAATTATCTGTTTTGCAAAACACTGCCCCATAACTTCAAGTTTGGAAGATTTCTGCTAGTTTGTCCTTCAGTTTTGTTTTGTTTTGTTTTTTTTTTTTCAAATGAAAGGAAAATAATTATGGTCGTCCTATCTTTGGTTTTACATGGCAACAAAGCTGTATTTCCCTGCTCACTCCCTTGTACGTGACTGCAAAGTTAAGCATTCGTCACTCAACTGCATGTCAAGCAGGACACCTGTGTGGCTGACCCAGCATCAGCGCTTACTAACTGCATGTTGCTAAGTAGCCTTCAGGCTGACTTCTGTATTCTCTTCTCAAATAATCTCTTCCAAATAAAAGGATTCCTATTCTTAAGCCAATGACTCTTCAACTTGAAACACTCAAGGTCGTTCTTTTAAATGAAATGGAATGCAAAACCTCTTCAGTTAAATGATCCAAGCTGGAGTGGTTCTTACTGTGGGTAGAGTTGGGATCTTCGGCCAACACCGCCCTGCCGTCTCTCATAGTCCTCACCACCAGGGGAACACTGCCCTAGTTTTCCCCTGGACCGAAGGTTTCTTAGCATGCAGGCATTTCAGGGCTAAGATTGGGAAAGTCTTAGGCAAGGTGAATCAAGTTGTTCATCCTGTTTTCCAGAGCCGAAAGTCCACAGTGCCCAAGCTTCTTGTGGAAACCTGAGCAAAGTAGACAACTCAGTCAGAACATGCCGAATTTCTTAATGTGAAAAGAGGACCAGGACCAGTTGTATTTGTGTGCCACTTTTTATAATATTTGACAGCTGTGTATTCAAAATTCACGGTCTATGCTCCTTTCTTCCTACTGATACCACTCTTTGCGGTCCTTGTAAGGTCTATGCAGTGATGAGCCTGTATTCCCACTGGCTCCCCCTCCTGAGCATGGTGGGAAATGGTACTAAAGCTGCCTGCCCTCCCGCCATGCATTTCGCTCATCTCCTGGGCTCCATAACACCCCATCAGCCATTCTGCTCTAATTGTTAGTATGTAAGTTTCAGGAGACTCACATACCTATTTGGTTATCTGGTAGAGTTTCTAGTGCCTGAGTTCAGTTCTGTATGCCACTTTGGGAAGTTCTAAGTCCCGCATGCTTTTCAGTTTCTGATGAACAGACACAGTTGAGAGTGAGTTTTTAGGACATTCCTTGACTCCATGGCTGAAAGTCTGAGGGGTAAAATTCTGTCTGTAAAAATCTTGTGAGGGGCTCTTGATAAAAATCTACCTTTTCCCCCATAAACATTAGCAGTAACAAGCAAGCTGAAGTTTTTGCAAGGAGGAGGAAGATCTATCTGGGAAACATGAGTTTGTAAACTGTAAGGTGCCCCAAGCTACTGCCCCTTGCTGCGTGTGCCAGGGGTTAAGCACTAACAGCTGCTGATAATTTGTTTTGGGCTTGGAAGTTAGACATAAAAACAGAAATGTGAATTATGATTCCAATTTTCCTTTCTGCCTAAGTAGGGACAAGTCACTGTTCGTGCTTGGCTCTTTCTTGTATAAGCCCTAACAGAAATGGGTGCCTGATTTTGAGACATGTCTCAAAATTTAGAGCTTTAACCTTAAGCATATTGCAATAGTGGAGAAAGTGTGAAGTGGCCAGTTCACTTGAGTTAGAGATAGGCCCAAAATTCTTCTGTCCTGAAGACGTTCTTGCTTTCTGTCATATAACTTTAGGAGATCTTCTGCTGACAAATAGCACATAAGTTTTTCTAAATGACGTGTATTTTCTAAAGACAATTTTTTAAAGCAAATTGTTTTATTTATGTGAAAGGCAGACTTACCAAGCCAGCAAGGGAGAAAGGCAGAGCGCTGGCCAGAGCTGTGTTTTGTCTCCCATTTTACTCCTCAAATGGCCGTAATGGCCAGGACTGGGCCGAGCCAAGGCCAGTAGCATGGAAATCCATCGCATTCTCCCATGTGGCTAGCTGCCTTTTCCCACTGCTTTTCCAGTGTATTATTGCGCTGGGTCAGAAGTGGAGCAGTTGGTACTTGAGGCAGTACTCATAAGTTATGCTGGCATCATAGGTCGTGGCTTAACCTACTGCACCAGGACACCAGCCCAGTGATGGTCATTTTTATTTTAAGATTTATTTTTTATTGGAAAGGTAGATTAGGTTAATGTAGAGAAGGAGAGACAGAAAGATCTTCCATCCACTGGTTCACTCCTTGGATGACTGCAATGGCCAGAGCTGAGCTGATCTGAAACCAGGAGCCGGGAGCTTCTTTTGGATTTACTATGGGGGTACAGGGTACCAAGGCTTCAGGCTGTCTTCTCCTGCCTTCCCAGGCTACAAGCAGGGAGCTGGATGGAAGTAGAGCAGCCAGACAATGAACTGGTGCCCATATAGGATCTGGGTACTTGCAAGGTGAGGATTTAGCTATCGAGCCATTGAGCTGGGCTCCATCGATGGTCATTTTTAAGAAGGCTAACTGCATAAAACAAGTCTTTTGGTTTTAATAAGAAAAAGCAACTATTGCCTTTGATTTTCCAATAAAATGCTATGACTTAAAGGATATACAGTTATTATTTTTTCCTTTCCTAATCACTCATTCATTTATAGCAATGAAATGAGAAACTTTTTGGGGAATTAGACTTGGGGCAACATTTTGGCTAGCAAAGTGGCAGTTGGATCTCAGGATGTGCTTGCATGTGAGGAAAGTATGTGAGAGTCCTGGGACTTTTTTTCCTCCTTGGAAAACAAAGGTCTATCTGTTAGGGGAGTTTCCTCCTAATATTCAGAAAACATGGATATTTAAAACATCTATGGCTCTTTATCCAAATATGCTGTGTGACTTGGCAAGGGCTGTTCAAAAAACATGCCAGCAGAATGGAATGTGGTGTCAGAAAGAAATGCTGTAAGTCTTGCAAGTGTAGTGGATTCGTATGCAATGTGCCTTCACTCAAATGGCTCCTGTTCCCGTTCTCTCTCCCCATTTCACTTGAGCCAGACATGGTTCAGAGTTATACACCCGGAAAAGCCCTACCGTCCCAAGGACAACTCTTGCCTCCTCCCGCGCTCTCTGCGTGGGAATAATGGCCGCTGCTATGGATTTTTGATGCCTGAGATTATTGCTATAAAGCAACATTTACAATTATTTCCTAAGTCCCAATGTGGGAACCACAGTCTCTTGGTATCCTGCCCCTCAAAACTTGCCTTTAAAAAATGAATTTTTTTTTTTTTTGGATATACTGTTTTCTGTGTAATTTGGGCCCTGTTGTTGAAGACAGTAGATTTAACACAATGAATAGGTGGACAGAATTACCTTATTTCACACTCAAAATATTTATGTATATTGTTTCCAATGCTTTTGGCACATGCTCATTAAATTTTCTCATTCAGTGCTTCTTCCTAGGTTATAATATAGAAAAAGTTGTACTTTTTAGAATAGAAATATTATTGATAGATATTTCCCAATCCTTCACAGTACGCTTGCTATATGGGACTTGATCACAGTTCACATAGATACATGTATTTCCTACTTTCACTTCATGTGTTCATTGCTGTTGAACTCAGCTACCTAAGAGTTCCATGCAGATAACAAGTTGCCTCATGTGGTGGGATTTCTGAGTGTTTCAAATCAGTTCCTTATACTGATTACGTCCACCTGTGGTATACTGAGTTGGTGTTGTGCTTATGTCTCTTTGTCTGATGATGTCACTTGGTGTTGGAACTTTCTCAGGGTGCTCAAGGCCCTCAGGGACCCGTGGGTGCTCCAGGACTCAAAGGAGATGGCTATCCAGGTGTGGCTGTGAGTATGGACTCTCCTCCTCACCCCTCCCCTCTCCTTTCTCCATCTTTCTGAGCATTGCACACTACAAGCTTGCTCCCTGCTTTCCTCTCTGTGTCATTTCAGGGGCCTAGAGGGTTACCAGGCCCCCCTGGGCCGATGGGTCTACGTGGAGTGGGAGACACTGGAGCAAAGGTAAGATTTCTAAGTAGGCAATGGACTACTAACTTAGATGTATATCCATTCTCTAATTTTTCTGATGCTTCTAGTTTTCTAATGGAGAGAAGGGTTGTATGTGTTCAAGGCTGAGTTTGATCTCTCTCTGGCCAAGCTTTTAGGAATGATAACATCCTGAGACTGTTGCTGGACAGAAAGCAGGTGCTCCCAGCAAAGACGGGAGACTGTGTGCTCAGTACCATCTCTGAGGAGCTCTTGATGTTTGCGCTGTCTCTGTTTTTGGGGTTAATTCTGTGAGTCCAGTAAGAACACGTGTCTGAAGGTTCTGTGTGATCCGTTCAGACGGACAAACCTGCCGGGCTTTGACCCAGGCTCTGGCTTGGTGTGACTCAGAACTAAATCAGGTCCTTGGGAAAGGGAAAAGCAAAGACAGAAACAAAACCTATTCCCAGCAGTGTCACTAAACTGAATTCAGGGATTAAGCTGCTCTTTTCTTGTGTGAAGGCATAATATTTTTCAAAATGTCACAATCTTGAGAAAATGAAATGGAATAAGTGAACCTGATTATTTTCAACTCTGCCTAAGATATTTGTGAAAATCTTATACTGGGTACCCTGGGGAAGTCGAAGCTTGTTCCTGTGTAAGATAAGGCTTGAAGTAAACGGTGGTAAACATATTCTGGAGTCTGCTAGTGTTCTGGTGGAATCAGCTGGTTGTTTGTATTTTCAGAGCACATAATTATGAGTTTTTATCCAACTGTACCCTCTATTTTAGTCACTTCCACTGTTGCCTTGCTGTTTCGCACTGAGCAATAATACCGCCAGACATTTGGGCACAGAGAAGAATTAAAAATGTGATTTTTGTGACTATTCTGCTGGATGATTAAGATACAGACTGAAATGATTTTCCATACCTTTCCGAAAGCCTCTTATATTTGCTTTCATAAATATTTAAGACATTTATCCTTGGGAAATGTCAGCTTACCTGTAACTACTGGTAAGAGCCAACAGGTTGCCAGCGAGTCCGAAGTGAACCTCAGATTGGCAGTCCACACAGGAGGCTGGTGGAAGTGGCAGGCCTTGGCTTGCTGTAGGATGGCATCAGCTGGGTCCCGCCTCTGCCCACTGCCTCCCACCCCCTGCCTTCTGTCTGTCATTCCTGGCTGTTCCTCATGTGCTCTCTGGGGATCATGCCTTGCCAGGAGAAGTCTTGTCCCTAAGGGTCATGTTCAGAGAAACGAAGGAGCTTGGAGCACCAACCTGAAGATAAAGGAGAGTCTAAAGCAAACAGCAACTTGTACGGAGCTTTCACAGCCATCTCTCCTAGTCTGTATGTCGCCTTGCTTTCTGAAGGAAATGCTTGTAAACATGCACACAGACACACACTCACATGGGCGTGTACACACTTAGGTACACATGGACAGAAATTGGTGAGGAAAGAAAGCGGTTCTGTAAAGCTTATATCCTGTTAGCTTCGTCTTTCTGATTTGGCCGATTGGAGGTGTGGCTGTCAAAATGCCAAAAATTGTCAATGGCAACAGAAACATAAGCCCCAAATGTGTGCAAAATGCCTTCCATTTTGAGTTAAAATGACAGAGAAACGGTAGGTATGTGGAAGTGTGGTTGCACAGACATACATTCCGTGGCATGTTTTTCATTTAAACTCTGTGTAGTCACCTTGAAATTTTGGCCTTGAGGCATTAGGTTGCAGGACAAATGGTCTTGTGCAATGAGGAAACTATTAAGGTTGACAATTAATTTACGATGGGTTTCTGTGGTATTTAGTTCAGGTCACATGTGTTGAGCACATGAGAGAGACATAAGAATCAATGCTGTGTTCCAAACATAGAAAAGCAATGCCTGACAGCTCCCCCCTCGTGCTTCATGGCTTTCTTCTCCAGTGGAAAATTCCATCAGCATCAATGGGTAGCATTTTTCTATCGATTATGACTTTGAATTTAATTAAAAATTTTGGCAAAATCTTTTGAGATATTTCCAAAATCCTGGTTAAAGAAAGAAAATAAACGTTCAAGGACATGATTGATATGAGGAGACTTCAAACAGTTCATGGAACTAAGAGATGAAGTACGCTTTGGAGCAAAAACATGGAGATTCATGCGGAGTTTTCCAAGACAGGATTTTCCGTTAGCTTTTTGAAGACCCTCGGGTAACTTTAGAACCTGCTTTTGAAGCATGAAGGAAGGAGGAGTGGAGAAAGCTGCCAATAACACTTGCCCCTGTAGTTTCACTCCTAAATGCTCATCAAGTTTGTGTAGCTCACAAGCTCGTTGCCTGCTGTCCTGAAGTGTGAAAGTTTGCTGGGTGTGTCAAAGAGAAACGTGAGAGGTAGTTCCACTAGTTGCACAAGCACAGGTCCACCCCACCATGAGCCACTCTGGCTCCCGCATCCCCCTCAATGGGCATCAAGAACTTTCCTCCCATTCATTGCACAGGGGAACCTTCATCGGGATTTGGAGCTTTCCAGAGCTCCCAAAGTTGGAATAAAGTCTCTCGGTTCTGAAGACCTATTGGATCATTGCTGTTGCAATTATTACTTACTATTTCCAGAAAATCATGGCATGGGAAATAACTCTCCTACTATATAGACAAAAGAACTATGGATCAGGAAAGTTGAACAACTTACCTCCTTACAATATAAACATTGTTGTTGCTGTGTTTGTCCAAGGTAGGAGAGGGAGACTGTGAAATGGAGACATGGATGTAACACCCAGTGGGTGCATAGATCAGGGCAGAAGGACTCACACTCAGGTTCACGGTGTTCCATCTCCAGTGCATCGTTTTAGCCGTGGGCCGATTTTTTTCTTCCTATTCTAGGTTTTCCACTATCAAAACCCAAATGACATCATCCTCAAAAAGTATAAACCCAGAAGAGTTAAATATTTTTTTTAAAAAAAGCTTTAAATGTTTGAGAATTATAAATGCATGCTTTATTTGACACAAGTGGCCCATGGTCATAAATTAAAATGCAAGTCTCCATGAAATTCCACCGAGTATCATTATTCCGAGAATGCTCCCAGCCTCTGAATCGCTGCTCTGTTCTCTGCAATGGCTCACATATGTGCACACCACCAACAGGCAGGGGCAGAACAGAGAGCCAATTGACACAGCGACGTGGAGCGAATTCACGGATTCCTTTGGCATCCACAGACCGGCCCAGGCACTCCGTTTTGGGTGGTAACTGCCGGCCATGGAGGCTTGGTCCAGGGTATGGATTTCCAGTAATAAAGGGAAGAACCTGTGTATCCCAAATGAGCTTGAATTTTGCCATCTTCCTATAACATGATGGCAAAATTGCTGCAGGCTAGACAGGCAGCTCAAAACGGGGCTAATTAAAACCAGAGCCATAAAAGTTAGAATGTCAGGTTGTTTGAGTCGTACATTTTAGAAAAGGTCACGTTCAAGACCAGGGAAACTTGACAAGATGATTTTGCAAGTTAGCACTTATTTTGGTTCCATGCATGAGCTGTAAGATCTGAGCTGGACTCCGGCCTTCCTTGGAACTCGGCTGCTCACTTCCCACCATTGTGCATCTTCTACCAGGAGTCTTTGACTTTCCCCTTAGCCCTGGAGATACACCCACAAACCTCCTAATATCCACAGCCTGCATCACTGTCTACACATCTTGATTTTTCTTGGAGGATCAGCTCATTAAGTTTTTATTTGTGAGACAGAGAGGTGGGGGGAGAGAAAGAAGAAGTCCCCCCATCCAGCGATTCACCCCCAAAACAACCATAATGACTCTGGCCAGGTCAGACAGAAGCCAACAGCTGGGAGTTAGCTCCAGGCCTGCTATGTGGAAGGAGGTACCCAAGAATGTGAACCAGGGTGGGCTGCGCTCCTGGATGAACATTCATAGGAAGCTGGGAATGGGAACAGAGCCTGGATTAGAACTCGGGCACTCTGCTATGACTATCTGAATCGGGCCATGAGGCCAAGCACCAGCCTCAATACAGTTTTATTTTTAATCTTGTGGACTGGAGGAATCTAAGGCACTTCTATTGAATGTAAATTCGCAAGAGCTTCCTCCTCTCCCTGGCATGAGGGACAGAAAAGAGGTCTCTACTTTGAAGATTTTTGACTTAGCTCCGTGAGGAAGCCGGTTTCTCTCCAGGGAGATCTTGGCACAGGGTGATCATCCCCATTGAGTTGATTTTGAAGAAAGGTGGAAATAAGAGCAAATCTCCCCAAATCCTAAAGTAAGGTATTCAATAATCAGGAAGCAATGAGATACAGCCATTTGGGAGTGAATATTAAAGTTCTAGGTTTGAAATTGTTTCCAAAGAATTGAAATCCAATATATTGACATTTGAAACGGGAATAAAACTTGAAAAGTGATGGCAGCGTAAGGCGACTCTGTTTGCTGGCATTCTCTGATTTGTATTCCCAACCCCTGACGATGGGACTGGGCATCCTGACTGTGGATTTTTCATGTTAAAGGGTGTCAGTGAGAATTGGCTGAGTGATGGGCTGATGGCCAGTCATCAGTCCGCCTGTCTGTGTCTGGGCTTCGACAGGCTGGCGACCCCGAGTGAGGGACTGAGGAGTCTGCAAACTGTGACCCAGGCTGATTTCACTGACTCCTCCCAGAGTTAATGCTCATGTTGGAGACTTGTTGTGTATATCTTAATTTTATTCAAAAGCCAGAAAAAAGGAAACATGAACCCAGTACCAATGATTGGGTTGGCTTCTCCTAACTTATTTTAAAACACAATGATTCTTTGGTTTTCTTGATTTTGTCACTTTGGGATTCCATTCTTTAGAAAACCCTTAAGAGGCTGATTTGTGTGATAATTCACTTCAATTTTTTATTGTCCCCAAAGTGGTAAAACATGTCACTGTTAGAATGATTGTTGCTTCCACAGTCCTCTGAAAGCCAGGACTTAGTAAGTACGAAAGGAAAGAGAGTGACCAAAATCCTGTTATTGCATGCATGTTGGTGGATTTTTAAAATCAAATATTGCATGTGTTTTATGAAATACATCAGTACATGGATTTTTC